GACGACACGAGCCCCGGTTCCGGCCTAGGGCCGAGGCGTGTCCTGTAGCAGACACCTCAGCTGGTAGAGCAGGTTTCCATGCGCGGATTCATTTTGGGTTTAGGGTTTAGGGTTTAGGGTTTAGGGTTTAGGGTTTAGGGTTTAGGGTTTAGGGTTTAGGGCACTTGCCACGACCAGGTCTTGTAGGCTCCACATGACTCCCCGGCGAGGAGAAGAGTCACGAACATAAGTCGATAGAAACACTAAAGGCCCTAAACCCCAAGCCCTTAACCCTAAACAATTCAACCCTAAACCAGAAGGCTCCAAACAGCCCAAAGGAGGTAAACGATAATGAATTCAACAAATCCTTCAACTAGGTATTCTTCGTTTGCTTGAGCCCTAGGGAAAACCACGAGAATCCTTCTTAGAGCTCCTTAGGCTGGGCCAGTCTTCTTACGAATCCCTGTCTTGACCTCCCTTTTGCGAGGCCAGGGTTTAGGGTTTTGGGTTTTGAGACCCCATTGCACGTACTGATTAGGGCATGTTTCGCGGTCCAGGGTGGGTTTAAGCAAAGGTTCGGGGGGTGCAAAATCTTGGGTGTTTCGTTTTTTTTAAAACTAATGGAGGGGATGTTGGAGAAAGGGCTCACGACATGGAGGCCCCCCCCCCCCTCTGAACGAAACGAAACCTGTGTGGCCCCTTAGCCCCCTTCCAGGGAAAAAGTGTATGCCTAGTACCTCAAAGGCGGGCTCGGCTTCAGGGCTTCACGGGAGCTTGGGCTGCCTCATCACCTGCAGGCCCGCGCTCTCCCTCATAAACCACTAAATGCTCAGATGGTTATAAGGGTTTAGGGAGCAGAAACCCTAAACCCGAAACCCTAAACCCTAAACCCTATCACTAGACACATAACCTGTCTGGGTCAAGCTGGGCGCTCTGCAAACCCTGAAGCCCTGCCAGGGCACCGCGACTTCAGCATCTTTTCTTGACGTCCGGCGTCCTTCGTGAAGTGTCTCCTGCAGTTTCAGCCCAAGATATTTGCTGGTCTTACTGAACTCGCACGCCCGAATTTCCTAACAGCCGCACTATGAAGAAATCCTACGCACTCCACAAGCTCAGAGCATGCAAGCTCAAGCCCTCTCTCATGCCTCAGTGTCCACCACCCTCAAACCTTCAACCGTTTAGGGATCAGGGTTTAGGGTTTAGGGTTTAGGGTTTAGGGTTTAGGGTTTAGGGCACCCCGAAAGCCCTAAACCAGCTGGGCCAAGCATCAGCTGCCAAGCCATGGAAGAGCGCCAGTAAGGCGAATGACCGCCACCCAAGCGCCTGCGGACCAGAGGCTTCTTTGGGTTTAGGGTTTAGGGTTTAGGGTTTAGGGCTTAGGGCTTAGGGTTTAGGGTTTGGGGTTTGGGGTTTGGGGTTCAGGGTTTAGGGTGAGGGGGGGGGGGGCGGGAGGCGGGGAGGGGGCACGACTCGGAGATTTGTAAGAGCAACTTCCTGAGGCTCCGCTTCGTCTCTTGACACCTGCACTCAATGGCAACCGGCGCATTCTCGCAGGCTCGCAGCCAGGAGCCGAACTTTTGGGGCCCAAACCTCCACATCTACATAGCCAAGAACAACAAATAAGATAACAGACCTTGCAGCTACTCTCATGGCACTTGTCTTGGTGCCCGCCCCAAACTGTCAGGAATATACAACTACTTATACTGGAGGCCGCTTGAGGGAGCCGTCATTTAGATCAACCTCGGATCCCAAAAACCCAAAACCCTAAACCCTCAACCCAGCCCATGAGTGATTCTCATGCCTTTTGGGCTGATCTGCTTGCTCTCAACATACCTTGGGCGGCCGCTCTTCTCAAGTACGGTTTAGGGTTTAGGGTTTAGGGCTTAGGGCTTAGGGCTTAGGGTTTAGGGCCGGGTTTAAAATCTAGGCCACTAATATGCCCTGATTTTGGGGTCCCCAGCGTCACCGCCCGGCACGGAGGAGGTCAAGGGTACATAATGGGGTTTGTGCAGGGACCTTTGGCTAGGGGTTTAAGGTTTTCAGGCTTGGGGTTTTAGGGTTTGGGGTGTTTAGAGTGGTTTCTAAACCCTAAACCCTAAACCCTAAACCCTAAACCCTAAACCCTAAGCCCTAAACCCTAAACCCTAAACCCTCGGAAGCAGGTTCTTGTGTTCAGAGGTCTTCGAGTGCCTAGAGTTCAGGGTTCAGGGCTTGGAGGTGGGGTCGGGACCGACGTGACCGACACGGGACATGGGACCATGTATCAAGCCCCAAAACCCTAAACCCTAAACCCTCAACCCTCAACCTGAACCCGACCTTAGGTTGGGGAGAAGATGTCGATTGAATGTTTCGGGGCTGCAAAACCCTGCAACCCTCAACCTCAAAATTGCAAGACCCGAGGAACTAGAGGCCCCAAACCCTAAAACCGAACCAACAGCCACACCACAGTAGGCGGGTGGGAGGAGGAGGAGGAGGAGGAGGAGGAGGAGGAGGAGGAGGAGGAGGAGGATACGAGGCGCAGTCCCTCTCCCCAGCAAGGGCCATAACTCAGAGAGATGCTCAAACCCTGACTCGAAATGACGGGTCACGCGCATGGAACATGTAGGGATCTGTGTCTCACCTCGGTGCAGTAGTAAAGGTTTAGGCTTGTCTTGTTGTTGTGTTTTTTTGTTGGGGGGGGGGGGGGAGGGGAAGGCTAGCTAGTGAGTCTACAAGGAAACACACGCCAACAGCAAGAGAACATGTGTACATATTTGTGGGTCCTAGCAGGGTGAAGTATGGCCTCTGTTTAAATACCCACAATTATTCAGGCCCGAAAGCCTTGAATCCAGTACAGTAGCTTACTCTGGGTGCAGAGGTTTCTGGTGCTGATTCATGATTAAACCCTAAACCCTAAACCCTAAACCCTAAACCCTAAACCCTAAACCCTAAACCCTAAACCCTAAACCCAGGGAATTCAGAGTTTAGGATCCCAAGGTGCAAGCCGCCGTGCTCATCTGGCGCGAGCGCGCTGCAATTCTGACCCAGAGCCCGTGATTGAACCCGAAACGGCCCTGAGGCCTAAACCCCAGCCAGTGAAGTTATCTACTGTCTGCTTCAGAACCCCAAAAGAATAACAAATAATAAGCCCTGTATTACCCTTAACAAGGAAGAATGTATCTTTATTTGTTGGGGGGCTCTTAAGCTATTGGTAGTTGTGTGAGTGGCTTCCGAACGCTCAAGCACCCACGCAGCCTAAGCACAGTGGCGGGACAATTTCTGGGCCCGAAACACTGGGTTTGCTTCGAGGGTCCTGTCGGTTTGGTGTTTCAGGACCCTAAACCTAAACCTTAAACCCGCAGACTTGTTCGGTTTAGTCGGTTTGGTGCTTCAGGTCTGGGGAGGAGGTTCGGCGCTTTGAGGCTTCAGGGGCTTACCCGCGCTACTTCTGCCGTTCCTGGTCCTAAACCCTCAACCCTACACCCCATGTTCCTGAGGCCGCAGCAGAAAACTCCGGAAGAACCACTTTGTGGTGAGGGGAGCCATACCACACAGTGGTCTGAGCCGCTCAACGGCTGTGTGCGCGAAGCCTAAGCCCTCTACATTGGAGATTTGGGAGTCTCGGGTTTGGAGTTTAGGGCCTTTGGGCTTTATGGTCTGCATTGGAGATTTGGGAGTTTAGGGTTTGGTGTTTAAGGGCCTTAGGGCCTAATCGGGCTTAGGGTTTCTAGGTCGCACATGTTAGAAGTAGGGTCAGCCTACAAGTGAGCCTCACACATCTGAGGACTCTAGCGTAAACTGCCCTGAAAGTCCCAACCTCCAATCCTGACAAGTTTAACACGACCCTGAAACCGCAACCCTTTTAGCCCTAAGAACTTTGCATAAAGCTCTGAACCTTACTACGCCCTAGGCGCTCAACCTTAAAGGTCCAAACCCGGCAGCCCTTAAGCACTTGGATGCCCAAAAGCCCGAAACCACCCTGTCTGGGGAATTCTTCCGGGCCTCGCGTAGAGTGAACGTAAGCTCGGGTTCGGGTCAGAGTTTAGGGTTTAGGATTCGGGGGTTTGGCGCTCACCTTGCGGAGACCCTACAACAAATGTAGGGTTTAGGGTGTGTGTTGTCTAAGGCTGATGGCCCTATAGGGAACCCATTGAATTTTTCCCTTATTTCGAATTCCGTCCACCCTCAACCGTAAACCCGAAGCCCTTTCTTCAGGTCTTGGAACCCTGTCTTCGGTCCAAGATGTCTGAGCTTCCACAAATTCAGAGCTGTTTAGGGGCAGTGTCAGGCAGCTACCTTGAGGCAACAGGAAGATACTAAAGGTTCTATTTCTTGAGGCTAGATAAAGGGGCTAAGGGTCATACTTACTTCGTTACGCAGTGTGAAGTTACTAAGGGTTATCTTGAGGAGGAAGCTTGTAACTAGCCGCTTGAGGGTCTCTACCTCCCACGGCATCAGGGTTTTACGAGGGTGTCCGATCCTCAGATCAGTTTGCCCGCTCTTCTTTTCGCGCGATCAGAGGTGCTGCTGACATCTTCAAAACCTCAAGACCTGCAGCTCGGCTGGGCTGCGCCTGGTGTTCTTACTTGGAGGGGTCCGCCACAGGCTTGCGTTTGGCACATGAGGGCGAAGATACCCAAAGCCCTACTGTCGGCAAGCCTCCGCTTCCGCAAACTAAATCACACCCTAAACCCTAGAAGCCCTCAACCCTCTAGGCCCTAACCCCCAATGTATAAGTACCCATAGGGCTGTAAGTCGCTGAACACAATGCGACGCTGACCCGCGCCTACTTCTGAGGGAGGATGATATAACTATAGCTATCCAGCTTCTACACGTACATGTATTCATGTATATATATATATATATATATGTAAATATAAATAATATAAATATACATAAACAAATATATATGTATATATATATAGTATATGCATGTTCAAAAAAATCAATATACGTTGACTTACATGCCTGCTTATAACCACACACACGCGCGCATCTCTGGCACCTCGTGCCGTCGCAAACCCCGGACGTCGCTTGCCCGTTCAGAGCCGCTCCACGCGGATGTGGATGGGATGCGCCTCTGGCATGGTGGAAAGCGCGTCGCAGGTCACCTGCCCAAGGGGGGTTTAGGGTTTAGGGTTTAGGGTTTAGGGTTTAGGGTTTAGGGTTAACCCAGTAAAATCGACCTCCACAGCCAAGACTGCACCAAAACCAGTTAAACTCCGCCCCCACAACATCTACCCTTCACAGCCTCACAAAAAATGCCAGGCAACTTCAGCAGGTGAAGCCCCTAAACCCTATTAGCCCTAAATCAACCAGAAAGGCTTTGAAGCCGTGAAGCGTTTAAACTCCCGGAAGCAGGAACTCCTCACCTTGAGGGCGGCTTTGGCTCGCTCAGCCGTCGTTCCTCAACACGGAGCAGGTGGTAAGGGGCTGGGGTTTTGAGGGTCTTGAGGGTCTTGAGGGTTTTGAGGGTTTTGAGGGTTCAGGGTTTGGGGTTCCGGCTTCAGGGGTTCTCAAGAACAGTTTAAAGCAGGCTAAGGCTCCCCCGAATGGATGCTGCACAAGGGGGTCGCTTCTATTTTGTCGGACCCCTGTAGCAAATCCGGGCTGACCCGAAAGCCGCAAGCCAAGAGCAAGCAACACATCCGCAGCTCTCTCCGAAAGATACTCAGAGTCTCTATATGCTGGTCTGTTATTGACACTCTACATCGACAATTTGACCGCATGGTTTTGGCGGGTCTAAGGCTGCATAAGAGCTTCTGCTTCTTTGAGGGGGAGGGGGGGGGGGGGGTGAATAAGAGGCCGAACAACCCTAAACCCTAAACCCTAAACCCTAAACCCTAAACCCTAAACCCCTTTTAGGCCCAGCTGCCCGGTGCTTGCGAGATGAGGATGCCGTAGCCTCGCCACTTATCCTCCTGGGCGGGCGCTTTGGTTGATTGGCTTTAGGAAGTTAGGGTTTCAGGGCTGAGGCTTTAGGGTTTGGGATTTAGGGTTTAGGGTTTGGGGTTTAGGGCTCTCATCTTTAGTGCCGCAGGATTTGTGTGCAAGGCTTTATGGATCTGGGATTACGGGCTCATAGGCCAAAAAGGCTACTGGGAACCACCACTATACCCTAAACCCTAAAGCCTAAACCCTGAATCCTGAACTCTGAACCCCGAACCCCGAACCCAGACCCTAAACCCTGAACCCTAAACCAAGCCCTCAATTGTCCACTCTAGGGGAGAAGGCGAACGCAGGAACTCGAGCTGGCGGAGCTAGCTAGGGTAGATAACGGTATGTATTTAATATACAGTGAACCTTATAAGGTTTCAGGTTTAGGGTTTAGGTTTCAGGCTTGGAGTGTGGGGATGTTATTGATAGTGTCCTAAAGGTTAAAAGGTTAAAAAGGATTCTGAGAGTCCGACCCCCCACTGAAGGCCCTTGTATACCCAAAGCCTCAAACCTAAAGCTCCATCAATTTGCTAGATGGAACCTTAAACCTTAAACCCTAAACCCTAAACCCTAAACCCCAAACCCTAAACCCTAAACCCTAAACCCCAACCCCAGACCCTTCTTTCGGCATACGTTCAACCGGAGCTTCTGGGAACTCAGCGGGCTCTGCACTTCCTAGAGCCCCATGGGCCTCAGTTCCCGGGTTCCCCACCCTACAGAAAGCCCTTTAACCTCAATTGGAAAACTTGGGTCCAGCCCCCCTCTCCCTAAACCCTAAACCCTAAACCCTAAACCCTAAACCCTACACCCTAAACCCTAAACCCTAAACCCTAAACCCTAAACCCTAAACCCTAAACCCTAAACCGCCCATCCCTTCCCTTGAGGTGCTCCTCGCTGTTCTCGTGCCAGTCCTTGTTTTCAACCTCGGCTCCCATGGGGGTGGCTGGTGCAAGGGAATATCGGGACATATACATACATTTATACATACACACATATACATGTACATACATGTGTATACATATATATATGTACACACAAACTGGGTTTAGGGTCTAGGGCGAGGTTTTTGCCACATTTATATAGTTCATGTATGTGTATATACATATATATATACATATATATACACTCCACGTATATAGATAGTGTAAACATAAGTATATATGTATATATGTATATATATATATATGAAGATTTGCAATTGGCTTGTGTTGCCCTGAACCCGAAACTTGAGGCCCCTCAGGTCCAAACCCTACGACATGGATAGGTCCACCCGAGCCCGCCTCTCCCGACACTTACACTTCAACCTCCGTGCAGTCCTCAGAGGACAGTGTGCCAAAGAGTTTTTTTTTTTTTTTCCGGGGTGCTGTCTCCTGGCGCCTTGTGGCTTCGGGGTCTAGGGCTTCTAGGGTTTAAGGGATAGCCATTAGGGGGAATTCCAGGCGGGGTAGTAGGGGAACCCAGGAATGAAGCACAGGGGCCTCAACTATTCGCCCTGCGCTTCTGGCTTGGAAACCAAGTTGATGGAATCATCCAAGAACCCTGAACCCTAAACCCTAAACCCTAAACCCTAAACGTCCTAGACGGCCTTGGTTAAGTTAAGGAAGTTAAGAGTTAGGGCTTAGGGTTTAGCATTCAGGATTTAGGGTGTAGGGTTTAGGGCTTAGGGGTAACTCCGGCCAAGTCGCGTAGGCCTCGATGGTCAGCAGGTCCAACGTCTTGTCCTTAGATGCGCACATAAAAGAAACGGGGTGGCTGACTGCGGACAAAGCATGGTGCATGGCGCACCCGAAGAGTTTTCTTGGGATGCTGCAGTACAGTACCCCCCCCCCACCCAACCACCGCAGCACGCGCCAACCACCCTCCCTCCCCCAACCACTGTCCCAACCCCCAACGACCTTTCCCTTCCCCCCCCCCCCCCCCCCAAAAAAAAAAAAAAAAACCTTCGTCGGTTAAGCCCCAAGACGATCCTGCGATCCCTGAACAAACTCGAAGCCGCTTCTCTGAAGTCTCTTCAGCACATCCAAGTGGCCGTCTGGCGCAGCCTTCGGTTGAAGTCCTTGGCGGCCCGGTTGTCTCTTAGAGTTTAGGGTAGAGGGTTTAGGGTTTAGGGTTGAGGGTTTAGGGCCGAAACCCTATGCCTTAACACAGTAAACCCTGTAAACTCCAGACCCCAAACTCTAGAGAAAGGACGCTGTGGATGCTTGTGTCCGGAACACGCATAGAGTCTCTTGATACGCACCATCCACACAACTGGGCACGGTGAAGGTTCTATACAGGTAACCAGCTAGTAACCCTAAAGCCCCATGGCTTGGCGCCAAAGCCAGAAAGAAACCCCACACTCCTCGACCCAAAACCCCCTACACCCAAAAAACCCGAATCCCTAGACCCTAAACCCTAAACCGTAAGAATGTCTTGTACGAATCTCCACCAAACCCATATGCCGCCAAAAGCTGCGAGGACGGCGTGCGGATCCCGAAAGAGTCGAACTCACGTTACGGCCCAGGGGCTTGCTTGAGGGTGTAGGGCTTCAAGGTTTGGAATTAGGGTTGGGTTTAGGGTTTAGGGTTTAGGGTTTAGGGTTTAGGGTTTAGGGTTTAGGGTTTAGGGTTTAGGGTTTAGGGTTCAGGGTTCAGGGTTCAGGGTTTAGGGTTCAGGGTTCAGGGTTCAGGGTTTAGGGTTTAGGGGGTTTCTGTAGGGTTGATTTTTGGGTAGGGCCATGGTTGAGGGTGCTAGCCGCTAGCCTAACTACCAACATTTGATTCGCGCTAGGGTTTAGGGCTCAGGGGCTTAGGGCACGAACTGCCAGTGTAAGATCCCAAACCTAAACCCCAACCGCCCTGGACGTCCACTACCCAACAAAGACCTCCTCCCCCGCCCCTGCTCCCCCAACTTTTGTATCAAGACCCTGCCCCCCATAAACCGCGCAAAAGCAGTCTCAGACTGTTCAACAAACCGTGATGAGCATCCTAAACTCCGTCTGCCAAACGGTCGAGGACCAGCCCCTACCTCACTTCCCTAAACCCAAAGCCCTACACCTTCAACAGTGAACCCTGGGGAGTTTTTGCCAGGGTCATGGAGCACCCCCGACCCGAAACACAAAACCCTAATTTAGGGTTCTACCCCCCTCCCCCCTTGCAGACCCTTCCACTGAGGGCTCCACCCGCGCCTTCTTTTCGTACCGGGGGCCTGGTAGGTTTCGCGGGGGCCGAAGCACAGGAATTCCGGGCTTTGGTGGGGTTTTAGGGTTTAGGGTTTAGGGTGGGGTTTTACTGTGGGTTGGGGGGGTGGGGGCTGCGCTGTGTGTACGACGCACGGATGACCCATGGGGCGGATGCTCCATCGGCATGCAGATCATTCGCGGGATGCGGTGTATCATGGCCATACCAATTCCTACATCATCGACCGTCTCCAGACCACACACCCCCAAGGCACTTAGCTCTATCACCCCGAAGCCGTCGGGGTGAGGGGGGACCCCGAAGCTCGGTACTGTGAGCTCTATACCCTCAGCCCTTGCTAGACCCAAGAATAACCGAGGAACAAAACGGGTGCTCTTTTTGGTTGGAAAAGGAGGCTTGTAAGGGAACCTAAACCCTTTTAAACAAGGGAACAAGGGCCTTAGCTTAACTCTAAACCCTAAACCGGGTTGGGGCCTATGGGGTAGGTCACCATGACAGTCGCCGAACGCCAGTGTTTCCAGAGGTCCACGACCTCCCAGGAGGTGGAGGAGCATTAGGGTTTGGGTTGGGACGTTTCCCCTTTATACTAACAGTCTTATTAGGGATTAGAAAGGGGGGGGGGTACTATAATCCCTATATGAGGAATGTTAGTTTCAGGGGGAACATCCCACGGTTTAGGGTTGGTGGTTTGGGGCTTTAGGGTTTGGGGCTCTTGGGGCTCTTGGGAGTTTCGGGCTTTCTGGGGGCTCTTCGGGAATGCGGGGTTTTAGGGAACTGGGGCTTTGGGGGGATTCCGAAGCACATGTGGCTGGCCAGTGAGGGCCCCGTCCTTAAACCCCGAAACCATACCATACACCGGGCTTTTGCATGGGAAGGCTTTAGGGTCTTCGGCTTCAAGTCGTACACCTGGAGCACACAAGCCCAGCAACTTCAAGCGCGTTCGGGTTAGGACCGGAATCCAACCTCCAAAACCCTGTATTACACCAAGAACCCCGCCAAAAGGAGTCAGAGTAAAGTGGCCTTCGACGCCTCTGCCCCTGCCTCAAGGTAATGTTCATAAACGAACCTCTTTGTACCAGGACCCCACCCCTCCCCCCCCCAATTACAGCAGCCCCCCTCCCCTGAAAACTGTTTCTACAGCAAGGCTCCACGCACCAAAAGCGAAGGATTACTCTATCCTCGCCTCAAAACCATGATGGATGGCAACAGATGCTTAATTAAGTTCAATGATCGCCCCTCGAGTGTTGCAAAACAAACACAACGAGGGAAAACTCAAACCCTAAACCCTAAACCCAACCCCCCACCCCCCCCCCAAAAAAAAAAAGAGAAAAAACAAAAATAAATATAATAATAATAGTAGTAATAAAAACCCAAAAAAGTAAAATATGAAAAACAAAAACAAAATAAAATAAAGTCAATGGCTCGCTGGCCGGGGAAAGGCGGCCGAGCAGCCAAGGCGAGGCAGCGCTCTGCTTCGCCCCCTCGGGAGTAGTCGGGATCTATGAAGACCTCGGGAGCGCGCAGCAGAAAGGTTTAGGGTTTAGGGTTTAGGGTTTAGGGTTTAGGGTTTAGGGTTTAGGGTTTAGGGTTTAGGGTTTAGGGTTTAGGGTATAGGGTTTAGGGTTTGCTGTGATAGGCGGTAGATGCTGTGAAGGTTTGGATGAAGCAGCGCCTCGAATGCCCCGTCAGGTGCGAAGAGCAGTTCTGGCCCGATTGTGGAGGGCCGTCCAATACTTGTCTCCCACCCCACGCCGTCCGAGGCAGCAAAACCACCCAAACCTATTCCTTTTAGGTTTAGGCCTAAACTCATGACAATCGCTTACTTTCAAAAAAAAACCTTCCGTCACCGATGGCCACTTTCAGCCAAAGGAAAGGTTTGAGGCTAGGTCCTCAGCTGCATGGGGGCGCGCACAGGGTCAGGGTCAGAAAGGCCAGGTGGGGTCAGGGGGCCAGGGGGGGGCCAGGGGGGGCCAGGGCCCGAAAATGTGGGGGCGGGTTTAGGGTATTTACTTTATTACAAGGGACCAGTACTGTACTGGTCCCGAGGAGATTCGGCCCATCGTGGGTGCTACAGACCTCCGGGCTGCAGGAGGCGGGCAAGCGACCCGGGTCGACTAACATCCCAAGGTTTGGTGCTTCGGGTTTGGGTTGGTTTAGGGGTTCAGAGTTTTATGGTTTTGGGGTTTATAGGGTTTCGGGTTTAGGGTTGAGGCTTCAGGGTAATGATGTTTGGCTGAGGGCTTTTGGAGGACGGGCAGGGCGGGGGGTGGGGGGGGGTCCAAGGCGATGGGCAGTTTATTAAGGTTTAGGGCTTAGGGTTTAAGGTTGAGGGTTTTGTTTTGGCATTATGGGTTTAGGGTTTAGGGTTTACAGGTCGAAGGTTTCGAGTTTGGAGGGGTCGAGGGGGTCGCGGTTTTGTGGCAAACAAAAGTGTCACCTCTACTCGGGCTGGAGGTGTTTGATCTGAGACCTAGGAGATTCATGCGTAAAGTTGCAAGCAAGATCGCTATAATTGTAGCCTTGACCAAGAGCTATGACTCTCACGGTTCTCATTGCAATACGGGTACTTTATGACCCTACTTTTTCTAGACCCTAAACCCTCAATCCTAAGGCCAAAACTCTCAGCCCTAAACCAATTTAAGCCCCGTCCTTGGAATGCTTGCCCCCGCAGACGAGTGGCAATACCGCGCTGCCCCTTCTGCTTTCCGAACCTAAGTTGAAGGATTACGGTTTTTAGATTGTAGGATCTAATCCGGGTTTAGGGTTTAGGGTTTAGGGTTTAGGGTTTAGGGTTTAGGGTTTAGGGATCTAAACCCTAAAGCCCTTGAGTAGGTTTTGGCTGCCAAACTCATGTCAGCTTAGAAGGGCGCTGACACATATTACAGCACTTCGAACACGGCACCATAAGGGTACGGAGCGTCATGTGGGTAGTTCTCTAGACTAGGGCCCCTTTTTGGGTCCTAAGTGTAGTACGGCACCCTTGAAATCCCAGAAGGAACCCTGATTTAGGGAGCCACCCATGTACGGACAGCACGAAGGAAGTAAACTGCCCACCTTTTGAGGTTTTCCTAGAGAAGTTGGGCCGAAACTTTCTAAACCCTCTACCCCGAACCCTCTACCCCTAAACCCTCTACCCCTAAACCCTAAACCCCCTTCCCCCATGTGGGGCTTAGGGTTTAGGGTTTCGGAGCCGGTTTTTGCTTCAGCCTTCAGAGCCTCCTCGAGGCCAGGACACGCTTCGGAGATGGAGCCTGGCCTCCGCTGAACCCAGCGGCGGTGCGTGTGCTTGAGGCCATCCTTGTAGATCAACCTGAGTTAGAGTATAAGGGGTGTGTAGTGCTAGTGTGTGCGCGCGTTTAACACGTGTTTGGGGTGTGTTGGGGTATGTTGGGGTATGTTGGGGTGTGTTAGGGTATGTGGGGTGCTCAGGGTATGTAGGGAGTTTCAAGCATTCAGGGTTTCTAGCGTTTAGGGGGGCCTAGGGAGGTCCAGAAGCTACTTAAGGTGAGCCTACCGGGCTCCGCATCGGATGAGCCTTTACCAGGCTGAGTTGGATCTCTTCCCTTTCAACCCCCATGCCTTCGAAGTCCCTACCTCTTGGGATGGGACCTGAACTTGGGAAACCTCATATGTCCCTCAAATTTTCCCAACAAAACCCGCAAGCATGGCCAGATCCCTGCAAACCAACCCATGACTATGAATTTGGAGGATCCAGTGGAACCCTAAACCCGACATGCTACAAAATGAGAGTACAGGGTGGGCTCTTCGCGGGCAGGCGGCTCGATGTGTGGATCTAACTGTGAGCTCCAGTTCCGCACCTAGCCGCAAGACTGGCTTCAGCACGAAGGGTTCGGGGTTGTGGTGTTTACAGCAGGGCTTAGGGATTCTAAGGGTTTCGGGTTTAGGGCTTGGAGTTCCGCAGGAGCGCAGGAGCTGAGATGTCCCTGTAGCTGCGGCTGCGAGCTTAGGTGCTGATTGGCTTGCTCGGAGCTTCGCGGGTGGGTGAAACCCCTGAACCCTCGACCGAAAGCCTAAACCCTTACACCGTGTTACGCCCGAAACCTCTCCAAGCCCTCTTGCTGAAGCTTTTCAGGACAAGTTGCAAAGTTGAACATAGCCGCGAAGGCTGGCCGGTTGTCCTGGAGGCCCACTTGCAGGGGTTTTGGGTGCAGGGTTGCGGATTTAGGGTTTATAGGTTTTTAGGGTACTAGGGTTTAGGGCTATTGTATTCATCAGTACAAGCAGGAGTAGAAGGACCGCAGCTGGTATCTGCAGGCGTCCTCCCAGATGGTCACCGGATCTTGCTTTCCTGAGAGCTTGCTGGCTCAGCAAATTGTGTTCGGGAGGCTCAACCCTAAGCCCCAAACCCTAAACCGGTGGTTTATGGGGTGTTCAGCGTGCGGGCCTACCCTGAACAGTACACCTCGGAAAACACATAGGGGTTGCCTCTTACATTGGAAGGGTGAACAGGTTATCTGCTCAGCAGCTACGTTCAACAGCCCCTACATTACCGTAAGACCCTACATAGCACCCCGGTATAACTACCCCTAAACCCTAAACCGTAACCCTAAACCCTACACCGTAACCCTGAACAAACCCTTAATAGCACCAGCTGCCCACCCGAACACCTAAGCCGTGCATGGAAGCGAAACCAAGGGGCGCAGGAGGCGCAGTGCCACTAGCGTCGAGCTGGGTAGCCACCTCAGCTTAGGGTTTAGGGGTTTAGGGGTCTAGGGGTTAGGGGTTTAGGGGTTTAGGGTTTAGTACCATCCGGCACTCAAAAACAAAGCATCGTCGGGGGAAGGCAGCAGCCAAGAAAACAGATCTAAAGTACCATTGCCGGAATTATTGGTACCCAGAGGACCAAACCGCCGCGGATAAGCGAATTCAAAAGTAAAGTGCTACTCGGCTGACGGTTGGGTTTAGGGTTTAAGGTTTAGGGTTAAGGGTTAAGGTTAAGGGTTTATAGGGTTCAGGCAAGAGAGACCATACACTCTAAACCCTATCAGCCCCCCGACCACATCCCTCCACTGCCCCCCCCCGCCCCCCACACACATGAAGAAGACCGAAACTGTAACGCCAGACCACTAAGGCGAGGGTTTAGGGATTGGGGATTAGTGCTTAGTGCTTAGGGTTTAGGGATTAGGGTTTAGGGTCCTTTTTGAGGGGAGGACGGGGAAAGGGGGGAACCCTAAGTCCCTAAACCCTGAACTCCAAAGTCCCTAAACCCTAAACTCTAAAGTCCCTAAACCCTACATTCTAAAGTCCCTAAACCCTAAACTCAAAAGTCCCTAAACCCTAAACTCCAAAGCTCCTAAACCCTAAACTCCAAAGTCCCTCTTCCCTAAAATCAAAAGTCCCTAAACCCTCAACTCTAAAGCCCCTAAACCCTAGACTCAAAAGTCCCTAAACCCTAAACTCCGAAGTCCCTAAACCCTAAACTCCAAAGCCCCGAAACCCTCAACTCCAAAGCCCCTAAACCCTAAACTCAAAAGCCCCTAAACCCTACATTCTAAAGTCCCTAAACCCTAAACTCCAAAGTCCCTAATCCCTAAACTCCAAAGTCCCTAAACCCTACATTCGAAAGTCCCTAAACCCTAAACTCCAAAGTCCCTAAACCGTAAACCCTAAACCCTAAAGTCCCTAAACCTAATCTGAAAGTCCCTAAACCCTAAACTCAAAAGTCCCTCAACCCTGAAACACAGCAGTCCAAGCAGAAGCCGAATGTCTGGATGTTCTGGTCTTCCTGGTCTTCCGCATCTCCCAGGGCTCCTCCGCAGGGATCACCCTCCCCCTCCCCGGCGGAGCTCGGTGAGCCCCAAACACCCCTAATTTAGGGTTTAGGGTTTAGGGTTGAGGGTTTAGGGTAAGTCCGCCCTCGCCCCGACTATCATTGTTAGTCTAGGAGTTTAAAAGTGTTCGTCTGTGAGTTGTAAAACAAAGAACACCCTCCATAAATTGGACAGATTCTCTTGAACATTCACATAAACTTGGGGCATGATAGCCTATGTTTCGATGGTCTGTAGGACTCTTGAATGAAGTGTCCGCTTTGGCAAAAATTGCGTTTGTGTGAGTAGAGAAAAATCTATGCTGCCCTGAATCTGAACCGTAAGACCTAGAAGGCTTCTTGCTCAGGGCTCCCTTCAGAGATTGCTTATGGGGCCGCTCTTTACTTCAAAGAATGTCAGAAGCTATATCTGCTAAGAGCATCCTACTAAAATTAGAAAATCTCCAACCTCAACCCTGAACCGTGAACCCTGAACCCTGAACCCGCAACTGCCCTCTGCCAAACTAAATTAGCACAGCTCTACAAGCCCGCAAGTGCTCTCAAATGCCCCAAACCCTAAACCCTAAACCCTAAACCCTAAACCCTAAACCCTAAACCCTAAACCCTAAACCCTAACCCCTAACCCCTAACCCCTAACCCCTAACCCCTAAACCCCTAAACCCCTAAACCCTAAACCCTAAACCCTAAACCCTAAACCCTAAACCCTAAACCCTAAACCCTATACCCTTTTCCCTAAACCCTACCCCCTCGACCCCAAAAAAAGTGCCCACGCCCCCCCGGAAGCTGCGCGATGCGCGGCGCCTTCGCCCTTCAGCTCCCAGTCCATCTCCTCGTCGAAGTTCCTCTGAGATTAGGGTTTAGGGTTTGAAGCCCTAAACCCTAAACCCTAAACCCTAAACCCTAAACCCTAAACCCTAAACCCTAAACCCTAAACCCCAAACCCTAAACCCTAAGCCCTAAGCCCTAAGCCCTACCCTAAACCCAGCCCTGAGCTTCGTGTTGTGCAGCTGCGCGTCAGCAGCTTCACTGTGTCCATCCAGTTCTTCACCTCCATGGGCATGTAAGTCATGTCTTCCTTCTCCAAGACTGAATAAAGGTCCTGTCTACAGGGTTTAGGTAGGGTTAAGGGTTTAGGGTTTAGGGTTTAGGGTTTAGGGTTTAGGGTTTAGGGTTTAGGGTTTAGGGTTTAGGGTTTAGGGTTTAGGGTTTAGGGTTTAGGGTTTAGGGTTTAGGGTTTGTATAGGGTTTAGGGTTTAGGGTTCAAGGGTATAGAGTTTGTGAGGGTTTCGGGTCTGAGGGTGGTACTTACAAGCCCCTTGGCCTGTCTTCCCTGAGGTTTCACCTGAACAAACAATAGGCAGGGGACTATACTCTGTACTTCCAGGGACCTAAGAATTCGGTTGCCAGAGCCCTTAAAGGCACAATAGAATCAGGTCCCTGGAGAGTACAGGGCTAGTTTAGGCTATCGAGGGTTTCGGCTTCTGCGGATAGAGGAGATCTGGCCTTGTGAAGCTCGGGTTTAGGCTTTAGGGTTTAGGGCTACCAGGGTCTCAATTCCGAGGTCTGCGTTTGCACGTGTCTGTCTTCTACCATTTCCAGTGGGGTTGATCTAAGTTATGGGCCCTGCAGGGCTCTCTATCGCCGCATGTTCCTAGAGTCTAGGACCCTAACCCCTAAACCCTCAACCCTAAACCTAGACCCTAAACCCTAAACCCTAAACCCTAAACGGGGGCGGCATGCTTGGAGGTTGCCGCTGCGCCTAGGCCTTTCGATCCTCCCGGCCTCATTGGGAGTTCGAGCACTGGCTCCCGGCTTGGCCATCTGGGGGGTTAAGGGTTAAGGGTTAAGGGTTTAGGGTTTAGGGTTTAGGGTTTAGCTCATCTCTGTTGCAGTTCAAAAAGGTGTGAATGCAACCCCGGCGCCGAATTCTGATCAATCAACCGCAACACCCTACAAAACTATACCGAGGTCATCAACAACATCATACTTTTCTTCTAGAGCTAGACTTGCGAGGGCTTGTCATAGGTCATTGGGGGAGCTTCTTGCAGAACCAACCCATGGTGCCCAGGGCACCGTACCGGCTCATGCTTTCGGCCAAAACACAATTGACCAACCGGCCCCCCCCCCCCCCCCATAGGTTTAGGGTTTCGGGTTTAGGGTTTGGGTATAGGGTTTAGGGAGTGGGGTTTGGGGTTTAGGGTTTAGAGCCATTTTGTGATGTGAACCTTCAATAACGAGACCGTCCTCAGCGGTGGGCCACTTGATGGGTTTCCGGTTGTCCATCTCACTGCGCATGCGCTGGACATGGTACTCACCTTCACCCATATAGGGCCCGGAGTTTCAAGTTTTTGGGCTTTACCCTGACTACCTGGTGCCTTATGAAAGGCCCTTATGAAATGCCCTTTATGAGGCATACCTTGACTTGTAGGGTACTCGGAAACGGGGGCCCATGTGCTTAGGTGTGGTTTGGGGTTTACGCGGGTTCGGCGGTTTAGGAATTGCAGTATGGTAGTTTTCTCTAAGCTCCAGAACTGCAACCCGGAACCCCTAAACCCTTAATTCCTGAACCCTTGAACCCTCAAGTGGACGCCGGGGTGGCAGTAGCAACTCTGAAGTTAGGTGACTCCTCCCAGGCCCTATTTCTTGTCTAGGGTCCCGGTACACTAGTACATCCGGGATTAAGGTTTACAGGGTTTTGGGTATCTCATTGAGGGGGTGCGCTGCTGCTGAAAGCGCCCAGGCGCGCGCCCGGGCTCTTGGCTTTCTGATCGCGCTCTTGTTCTTTCATGCGTGTTTGAGCTGAGGGAGGGAGCTACAGTGAAGCACACAGTAGGGTCCTTGCACAGAACGCCACGACGATGTTAATCTTCTGGCAGGCTTAGCTTTCTGGATCTCAGGGGGCTTACAGCTTAGGGTTTTGAGTTTGGGGTTTAGGGCCTCTGGACCACAACCCTCAACGGCTGCAACTTCATGCGCGAGACGTCCCAACTGCCTATCCGGTGACTAACCCGCTGGCCTTCGCCGCCGCAAGGCTCAACATACCAGACCGGCGATGAAGCATCCTGCACAAAGCAGAGGAATCTTTAGGGTTTAGGGTTTAGGGTTTAGGGTTTAGGGCTCTTCTCGGGCTTACCATTTCTGGCTGCGGATCCCGAACAAGCCCAGAAATCCACATCCGAAACGCGAGCTCGAAAACCAAAATACCAGATCTCCGGACTCTCCCTACAGCCCTAAGATGCTCAAGCCCAAAGCCGTTCCGAGCATCCCGAGTGATAGGAAAATCATTGAAAACCCTGTAGCGTTTTGAAGGCTCCGGAAACCTCAGACCCGAGAGCTTCGCGTTGAGGGTCCTTTAGGGTTCAGGCTTCCGGGCCGCCTCAGCCCCCCCCCTAAACCCTAAACCCTAAACCCTAAACCTAAACCCTAAACCCTAAACCATGGTAAAACTCCAAAACCCTCAACCCTCCCTAGCTTTTGTCGGCCCAGACCCCCCCTCAAAAACCCTGGCACCTGAAACCTGAAACTGTAGGGACCCATCCCGATCAGCCCCATGCCCTCAGCCTCGGCTAAGAAAAAAACGCAATCACAGACAAGCCAGAGCCAATAGTTTGGGGTTTAGGGTTTTTTGGGGTTTTAGGGTTTATGGGTTTGAGGTTTTAGGGTTTAGGGATGTCGACTCGAGTCTCGAAAGCGAAGCGCTCACTGGACGACGGTCGACGGCCATCACGTATGGGAAGTGCCAGTGGCTCAGTGGCTCTGGGCGACGCCGCTACGCCGCCACCCACATTGAATCTAAGGATCTCAGTGCAGGAGATCGCAGAGGGGCTGTTCTCGCCTCCGAGAGCATGTTTTTTTCAAGGCGTGCACATCCAGCCGAGAGCAGAGTTGCATCTTCCACAAGCGCAAGCGGCGCGAAGACACGGCAGAGGGAAGGCAAACAGATCCCCAAGAAGGATTCGGCAAGAGCAGCATAATTCTTCTGCCCTAGACCCTAAGCCTCAAGCCCTAAGCCCTGAGCCACTAGCCCCAAGCTCGGGGAGCACTCCCAACGCCCCATCCTTCTTGTTCACCTTGAGGTCGACCACAGTCTGCACGATCATCCTAGGTTACCCAGTAGCCCAGGAATAGAAAAGGGCTTAGGAGAACACCATACACAACCCATCAATTCATTTTGAACGGTTGGTTTTGGTATGATCCAGGGGCCTTTAGGGAGCAGGGACTACGTAGGGTGAGGAGCCACTTCAATTCGCGGGGGGGGGGGGGGGGGGGGGAGCCTGGACCACAGATAGGGAAAATGGGTGCCAGAGTGGGTACCAGCGTCTGCTTGAAGATGTCGCCGAAGTTCCCGGCGCGATACGCGTGTCTGGCGGCAGGCGTCGTGAAATACAGGGTCCAATCTAATCGAAGGGTGCGTTGGTGAGTTTTATTATGATTCTGAAGGTGATTTAAGCGGATTGTGTTGGTAGTTCTTAAGGCTGCTGTATTATGGGCATTATGGGCTCGAGGACTTCCCCAAACCCGTACGACCCCTGATCTCCAAGCCCCCCAAAGCCCTGAATCCACTGAAGGTCGATCCAAGCAACCCTAAAAACCCCAAGCCCGTCCAACCTAGCCCCCTTCAAGCCCCCAATTAAGCTCTGAACCCTAAAAAAACCCTATAATTAACCCGACCCCTCCCCCCTCCTCTTCCCAATACCCCCCCCCCCCCCCCCCCCCCCCCCCCCCTTGCCTGTCGAAGACTTTCGTCTGAGCGCCCGTCATCCGCTGGTTCTTCGGCAGGGCGTGGACCGGTGCTAAGCCTATCAGGTTGCTCAGCAAGTGATTGTGGTTTAGGGACGATGGTGGTGATGATGATGATGATGGCGGTCGATGGTGATGATTGCGATGCCATATCAAACAAATGCATTGTACAACAATTCCGAAATATTTGAAGATGAGCAGACACAGGTGGCATTGGATGAAGTGGTTGTGATTTGCGGTACTTAGGAGCCTTCTGAAAAATAATTGGTGTTGGTGGTGAGAATATTGGTGCTGTATGAAAAGTTCGTGCACGTGTTTGTTGTTATTGCGGTAAGCTGGTCTTGATATTTGAATGTTTCACTTACATGCATCGAAATCCAAGAAACTCGTTTATAACACAAAAACACACAGAAACTCATGATGATGGTGAGGATGATGGTGCTGGATGGTGCTGATGGTGATGGTAGTGGTTGGTGATGATGGTGATGACGGTGATCGATGATGGTGATGATGGTAGTGCCAATGGTCATGATGCTGGGGGTGATGATGATGCTGGTCGATGGTGATGATGGTCATGACGGTGGTGATGATAAGAATTGTTAGACTTCAGGACTGGTTAGTTTTTGTAGTGTTGATATTGCGCCTGCTATTGCTGTTACTGTTGCAGTTCCAGTTGCTTCTCCCTACTCCTTTTCCTACTCCTACTGCTGCGACTTTGCCGTACCACTGTCACGTGTTCATTTTTTGTTTGTGGGGGACCCAGACCCTAGTAAGCGGATCAAGCAGAAGAGACACGTTGTCGACCGGGCTACCCTGCAACCCCACACTGAGGGCAGGGGAACGAAAGCAACCACATTCTCGAGATTCTCGTGCATTCATGCTGGGACGAGCGCTGCCAGCCAGGTCTCCTGTTGGATCAAGGAACCTTTCGTGCTCTTGAGATGCTCCCACTTTGCTCGCGCTGGGACTGTAACATGACCAAGAATCTTACTTTTCTGCAGGAGTCGTCAGGTGAGCACCGTCTGCGTATAAAACCATAAATGTCCTTGTAGCTTCTATTCTCTCGATGGAGAGCCTGATGGGGGCAACAACTGGAAACGCATCTCTTGTAATTCTCCACAGCACATACAGTTGGGCTTGAAAGGGCTACTCTCGTTATCATTGACTGCCCAGGGATACTCGCCCCACCCTCGCGCCCAAAGAAGAGAACAAACAGAAAAGCCTGAGGCCACAGAGAAACAAAACAAAACCTACTTGGAGGTAGAAGTGCCAGTGCCCTTAATGAGGTTAGAACTTTAACCGTACTCAACACCCTACTCATAGTTCCCCATGAACCTGCCAGTATGGGCATCTGACCCTAAACCCTCAAACCTCAACACTAAACCCTATACTCTAAACTCTTAGATTTCGAAAGCCCTGCCTGGATAAAACTTCTGCCACTCTGGGGTGTGATCCTTCTCGCGCTCCTCGATGGCAGTCTGGATTTGCCTGGAAAGAAAAGTGTAGTTCAGAGGGCCCAGAAGAAAGCAGCCCATAGACACCAACGGATGAACCCTAAAAGGGCTTGAAGAGTTCTGGGCAGTTCTGCGGGGTTTGGCTTGGGGAGTTTGGTGAGTTTAGGGTTTTAGGGGGTTAGTGGTTGAGGGTTTGGGGATTTGGGTAGTTTAGGGTTTTGGGCTTTAAGTTCGTGTTTTAGGGTTTGGGGGGTCGGGCTTCTCGGGTTTGGGGTTTAGGAGGTGCGGGTGGAAAGTAGGAAGTGACCCTCTTCAGGAGTCGAGGATTTCTGTCACGGCATCCTCTACTCCCCTAACTACTGTACGCCCTACCCAAACCAGGCCCAAACAAGGGCCTCGGGGGTTTGGGGCTTATATCGGCCAGCCATGAACGAGTCCATTTTGTCATCGAGGCTGATTTCGCGCTCGGATGGGCTGCAAATCTAACCCTTTGATCATGCTTGCAAAAGAATTCTGCATTGGACGCTTTCGGACAACAACCGTAAGCGAGTCACCTTCGTTGAGGCCACACTGTCGAATGGTGCGGACGTCCTGGAGGCGCGTCGTGTTGCAGAACAATTCCACAATGTGATCGCTCTCGACAGGAACGACCTGCTTGAACATCTTTATCACCTCAGAGATAGTATCCTTCCGCTGGACGGTCAAGGGGGTAGAGTTGCCTGATACCTGAAGCAAGTTAAGCGCGATTGTCTCAGCTGGGTTGGCCGCAGCAGCTGTCTGCAACTCCACTTGCTTCTGTGGCAGATGTTGGGCGTGCATGGGCTGCGCCGGCCGCATAGGCTCCAAATCTAACGCTTCGATGCTGCTTGCAAAAGAATTATGCATTGGACGCTCTCGGACAACAACCGTAAGCGAGTCACCTTCGTTGAGGCCACACTGTCGAATGGTGCGGACGTCCTGGAGGCGCGTCGTGTTGTAGAACAATTCCACAATGTGATCGCTCTCGACAGGAACGACCTGCTTGAACATCTTTATCACCTCAGAGATAGTATCCTTCCGCTGGACGGTCAAGGGGGTAGAGTTGCCTAATAGCTGCAACTTCAGCTTGATTGCCTCATCTACTTCGGCCATGGCTGTGCGCAAATCCGTTTGTCTTTGAGCCTCAACGCCCTCGTGGATTAGGGACCCAATTAGGGACGTCTGCTTTTGATCAAGTCATTTGCCATTTGTCAAAGCATACACGCACACTCACGGTCACACACCATTGGCCAATTCTTGCTTCTGTCCCTCCCTGCATGAACATAGTGGACATGGAAACGACACCGCGTGCTCCCACAACCTTCACCCTAAACCTCATCGCCGTAATTTCATGTGAGAGTGCCAATTCCATTTGTCTTGCATTAGGCGGTGGGATTGGGGTTGTTTCATACGGTTTCATGCGGCTGTCTCAGTGTATGGGCTTTACCGAGGGTCCGATAGCAAGGGACGATGCGTCATCCTCTGGAATTTCTAGTCATGTGGCTATGTGGTGGGTTCAGGCGAATAGTTGTCATAGGGGGCGCTGCAAGGTGAGAAACCGTAACCCTAAACCCTAAACCCTACACCCTAACCCTAAACCCCTAAACCCTAAACCTCAACCAGTGCGGCCGCGCGGCCGCTGCGTGGGCGTCTGGAAGGCCCGGGCGCGGGCTAGTCCGCCCTTGCCAACATGATGTGGGAGGGGCGGTCTGGGGCTTAGGGTGTAGGAGGCTGTGCGGTTCAAAAGATATGTTGACAGCTTACAGAAACCCTGGTACTATGTACACATGCATATATGTATATGTGTATACGTGTATATATATATATATATATATACCCCCCCCCCCCCCCACCCCCAAGACCAGAAGAGAAGCCTGAGGTGCGACACCGTCCCAACGGTTCCACTAGGTACTAATTCTTTGCATCCCATCGGAGGCAAGCCCCGCAAGCATGGGCATTTTTTTTAGGCAAACCTGAAGAGAATTGCAATCAAAAAGCAAGCTGGGTTCCCAAGACATGCCAATGTTTGTAAGGTTTTCCTCCCATGGAATGCAAGGAAGAGGTAGAATCTAAGAACCATTCACCATACCCCAAACCCATACCCCTTGACTTATATGAAAGGATAAAATAAGGGAGTCTAAGGGAGGATTTTACTATACTCCTTAATTTCTTTTGAGGGGCATGCCCTAGGGGAATGTAGCCCTCAATTTCTTTTAAGGGGTATGCCCTATAGGGGTATGTTGAGTATTGCTTAGATAGAAGAACTACCCACATCATGTATGTATATTTTCCGTGTGTCTAGTAGAAGAAAGGATGGTAACAGAAATTGTTCAAGAAACCAAACACTCTACGAACCAAACAAAAAGATGCAAAACCATGGGGCACGATGACCCGAACATAGGGAACTAGTCTCCCAATATTGTGTGTGTGTGTGTGTGTGGATTTTTGCTGGTTTAGGTTTTTGTTACGAAAAAAATCATTCAACAACAAAAACCAACAAAAACACAAGTTTGGGACACTATGACCCGGACCTGGAGGACTAGTCTTCCTTTATTCTAGTCATTTTTGGTTTTGGGGGAGACTGTGACCTGGAGACGGAACCAAACAGATATATGCTATACGAAACACCGTAACACCCACAAAAACCCACAAAAACAAAGAACCAACATTTGGGGAGACTAGCGCACTGTCTGCGGCGCAACCTGCCAAAAACACACACACACACACAAAAAACAAAAAAAAAACTTGGGAGACTAGTCCCCTGGGTTCGGGTCATGGTCTCCAAATATTTGTTAGGGTTTCGGGAGACTGTGACCTGGAGACGGAACCAAACAAGACTCCCCCAAAACAAAAAAAAACAAAAGAACCAAAGGAACCAACAACACCCAAAAAAACCAAAAAAAAAAAGCAACAAAACAAAAAGTCAAAAACAAAACAAAAAAACATAAAAAAAAACACAAAAATCGGAGGGCCTGGTCCAAACCCAAAAAAACCCAAAAGACCAAACAAAAGGCCCGGACCCGGGCCATGGTTCCCCAAATTTGTTTTTGGTTGTTTTTGGTTTTTGTTGGTTTGGGCCAGGCCCTCCGAGTTTTTTGGTGTTTTTGGGTTTTGGTGTTTTTGGTGTTTGTTCTTTTTTGGTGTTTGTTTTGGTTTGGGCCAGGCCCTCCGATTTGTTTTTGTTTTTTTGGGGTTTGTTGTGTGTTTTTGTGTTTTTGCTTTTTTGGTTTTCCTTGCTCTTGGATTCGTGCGGGGTTGGTCTTGGGGGGGGGTTAGCATATATATATATATATATATATTTTGTATATATGCATAATTGTATGCACAAGTATGGTAACTACACGTAAGCTCCCGAACAGCAGCCCAACGCCTCAACCTGAAGGGAGAAGCCCCTTTCCTAATCACAAACTATTTAGCGAAGTTCAGTGAGGCATGACCAGGGATTTTCGGGTGCCTTGTAGAGGGTTTAAGCTTCTTCAGGGTTTAGGTTTTAAAATAAGGTATAGAAAGTCGGGCGAAAGGGTGGATGAAAACTGTTGCAAAGCCTATGATTTAAGCTACCGTGGACATGCTGTGCGAGATGCACGCGTGGAATTCCACTCGTGCTGTAAAAAGGCTGCGCCACATTTCGCCCCTTTGCCATACAGGTCTGAACCCAAGACAACCCCTATGAACCCTATCATCCCAAAGCCCTGAACCCCTAAACCTTAGACCCCAAAAACCCTAGACTGGACCTCTGGTAACAACATAAAACCTTGCAGTCCAACTCTTCTTATGATTTTTTGGGTTTACGGTTCGGGGGCTTGTCGCTTGTTGAAAGTTCTAGCTTGCTTGGCGTACGTCTAAAAGTACCCATGGACTAAGTAGGGTCAACCCTAAACCCTAAACCCCAAACCTTTCCCTGTGGACATTTTTAATCTTGCCCCTGTAGGGGATCTACTCGTCCTTTGTAGGCCCTCCTCCTTTCCTTCTCGGTGTTTCGGGCCATTTCGGGTCTTCTTGGATCTTGTGCCCGCCCAGGTTTTCTCAAGTCTCCTGTCACCTAGACCTAGGAATCAAAGGCTGCCCTAAATTTCGCTTACCAGGGATCCTCGCTCGACCATAAAGGACGAAGGATACCATAAGGACACTGGCCTGGCGGTCTGTCTTGAGCTGCTTCTGGTCTTCGGACGCCCATCGGTCGTAGACCTGCGCGACCACATAAAACGCCTGAAACCCCCAAAACTCAAAAAAAAGAAAAAAACTCACACAGAAAGCTCCTTCCCAAGCTGTCACGCCCAAAACCCCAGCAGCCCACGGACCCTGCACACTTGGCTTTCTCTAGGTGACGCTTGTTCTCCACGACTGCAAGATTCTGGCATCCTCCACCGCTCAAGGGAAGCATCTCCTTACAAGGGAGCTCCCCCTTCTACATCCTCAACCTCGGCCCAACCGCCAAAACCCCAAAACCCCCAAAAACCCCAAAAACCCCAAAACCCCAAAACCCCAAAACCCCAAAACCCCAAAACCCCAAAACCCCAAAACCCCAAAACCCCAAAGCCCCCAAACCCCTAAACCCCAAAACCCCAAAACCCCAAAACCCCAAAACCCCAAAACCCCAAAACCCCAAAACCCCAAAACCCCAAAACCCCAAAACCCCTAAACCCCTAAAACCCCAAAACCCCAAAACCCCAAAACCCCAAAACACCAAAACCCCCAAACCCCTAAACCCCTAACTCTAAATCCTGAAACCGGGGAAGAGGCTTTGGGAGTATCCGCGCGGCCTGGTTGGTCCAGGGAGACCGGAACTGCCCCTGTCGCATGGACTCCATCTCGGGCGCACCCTGTCGATAATCAGGGAGGGTTTAGGGTTTAGGGTTTAGGGTTTAGGGTTTCGGGTTTAGAGTTTAGGGTTTAGGGTTTAGGGTTTAGGGTTTAGGGTTTAGGGTTTAGGGTTTGTAATTGACTCTCTGTTTCTTGTTGCTACCTAGAAGTTAGTACCACACTCTTAGTGCCACAGCCACATCTACTCGTTGCAAGATTCAGGGCTCCAAATCCAAGTCACTTAACTAAGGGTTTAGGATTTATGGGGAATGTGGGGTGTATCGGGTTTATAGGGCTTACAGGGTTTAGGGCTTAGGGGTCCCCGGTCGCGCAAGGCCATGGATTGCTTATAAGGTCCGGGGACTTGAAGCTGGCCTTCGGTTCTGAAGGAGGTCTTTGGTGCTAAAACTTCGGGTGGGTTCTAAGGATTAGGGTTGAGGGCCTTAAGGGGGGGGAAGGCCCAGAGGGGCGGTACTAGCTAGGGAAGCTGGGAGCCAGGGAGTACGAGAGGCTTCTGGGATATCTGCGCACCCTTGTGGGCCCCCCCCTCCCTTAAGGATATTGCAATGCCGTCTAGGCGTCGGAACATCGACGCTTGCGAAGAAAACCCTGTGCTCTATTTGGATTCGTCAAGGACCAACATAGACACCCTCATACCCCCCCCCTCCAAAAAAAAAAAAAAAGAAGCCTAATTAAACCCTGGGAAGCCTGCGGCTGGCGTGTAAGGAAACCCCTCGATCTCACCACCCCTATAGAACCCTCAGCTTGTGGCTCTAAACCGGGAACGCTTCAGCCCTAAATGTTAAAACCCGAAACCCCATAGCCCCCCCCCCCCCCCCCTGCGCGCGCCTTCTCCCAAGCACCGGTCTTCGGTGAGCCCCTCGCCGAGAGGGGTGGCGGCTCATTTCCTGATCTGAGGAGGCAAAACGCCAAGAGGGGTTTAGGGTTTAGGCTTTAGGCTTTAGGGTTTAGGCTAAAACGCCAAGAGAGGTATCCGAGGTAGTATATATATATATATGTATATATATATATATATAATCAGTAGGGGTTAGGTTGCACATTTAAGTCCAGGAAGCTTGAGTTAGAAGTAGGCTTAGAGGAACCCCCCTCCCCAAATAGAACTAGCTTCAACAAACAATTGTCTTAGTCAGAATCCGACTCTTCTTCTACCGGTGTAATATCCAAGTACCATCATGCCTGTGCCGGCACGCAGGGCTTAGGGTTCAAAGCCGGCGTGAACAGTTGGGGTGTCACCCCAGACGTCCACAGATGCTGGCAAAAAAACCAGGTATAGCTACAGCTTACTTAGAACTCCAGGCATAACCGGCAAACAACAACCTGCAAGATTGGTCAAGCTTAATGGCTGCGAGGTTTGTGTCCCCAACTCATGCCCCTCTAGTCTACGGCTCCTCGAACCCCAAAACCTACAAAAGACATATTTCTATGAGTATCTATCTAGGGTTAAAATACCAAGCCCATAACACAAAACCCTAAACAAATGTCCAAACGTACCGAACCCAAAACCCTGAATTCCCCACTGCTTCCCCAGCTCAGGTCGAGAGGCGGTTCGCCACGTAGGGGGACCGAAATTGCTCCAATCGGCGCTCGCGCGCTTCCTCTCGATGTGTGTGGACCAGGCATCGTCTGTCCTATAAAACCCTAAACTCGCTAAACTCGCACAACCTAGCACCCACCCAAACTCCCAGGCCCCCCCCCCCACCCCTACCATATATACATTGTCTGGAAGGGGTGAATATATATGGCATATGCACACACGCAAAGCATCTTGTTGAACTGATTGCTTGGAGTGGCACGCCATTCTGTCCACGGGCATGATTTCTGATCCGTCTCTCCCTCGGGCACTCCAGCGGCTCAGTTCTGTGAGGTCCCGAGGTCTGCGTGCCTAGGTGCCACAACTCCAGCTCCATTCGCTCCAGGAGGTCAGCGTTTATCTGCCACCCATTTCTGAGCATCGGCCCATATGGGCGAGCGGGACAGGGCAGAGCTTTGCCAAGGCCGGCCCGACGTATGCCGCGAGCTTCATGCGTTCGCACCCTGCTTCTGCAGTGAGTTTGATCCCTTGCTTCAGACCTTTAGGCGTACATGGTTTGCCTTAGGCACACAGTGACACAGGTCCTGCACGTGGTTGCTGTTAACTAGTGCCAACAGTGCACTATAATGAGGTCTTACATGTGCTACAGCATGCTGTGAATCTAACGCAGCTCCGTTGTCGTTGAACTGCGCATCGTACCTTCTTCGGGCGCACAGGTTGCCCGCCGAAGTTGTGCTTCAACAGTGCTACGAGACCTATAGGCTTTAGATGGGTAAGTAGAAAAAATTGGGTGCCGAAGCTCCAAAAACGCCGTAAATTCCGGTGTGTTGGGCCCGGCCCACGACAATCCTCAAACCACCAAAATAAGCAGGCCCACCACCGCGACCCACCACTAACTACTAACTAAGCCCCTATAGAACAGGTCAAAGACCCGCCTACGCCCTGCAAATCCTAAGCCGGAAACTTCCCAAAGCTTCCCAGAACCCTGAATGGCCCTAAATCCTCCAAGCCCTAAGCCCTAAACCCTTGAAACCATAACAACGGCCGTAAGAGACGGAAAAGCCACAAACCGCCCCAAGCTGAAAGGGGCCTTTCTCGTGCGCTTCTTCTCTCGAACAACTGGCCCGGAGGGTCCGCCTCCTCCGTTTGAAGGCTTAGGGTTTAGGGTTTAGGGTTGAGGTGGTTCATGGGTAGCTAGGGTTATAGGATCGGTTATAAGCAGGGTATCTAAAAATAGGGTTCGGGTTGGATAAGAAGGTATCTATAACTAGGGCGGTTATAAACAGGGTTAAAAGCCGGGTATCTGCGATGTCTTACTCGAACCCCCTTAGGCCTTAGATTTGGACCACTGTAACGAGCAGAGGAGGCTAGATTCGGGCGTAGGGCTTAGGGCCTAGGGTTTACCCCACCCCTCCCGAATACTCAGCCCTTAACCCAAAATCCTTACAAGATGCAGGGCCCCCTGATGGGACTCTTCATCCTACCACCCTATAAGACTCGTGAAGGCCTTCTGCCCTCAAGTCCTGAATCAGCAGCCCCTAGATCGAAAAAAACAACTCCAGATCCTCAGCCCCATGTCCGAACTAAGTAAGCCTGAACAGGTTCTGAGGGTTTTGTCCTCAAGGGTTCAGAGGTTTAGGGCTTATACACCCACCACTTCCTTATGGCCTCCTTTCCGGGCGCGGCAGCCCACCTTGGCGGCAGCGCCCACACTGGCGAGACCTCCCCGGCGAGGTGGCTTGAGGGTTTAGGGTTTCATGTGTTCAGGATGTTTTGGGGTTTAGGGGTTTAGGGTTTAGGACTTGGGGTTTAGGGGTTTGGGGTTTAGACCTGCACAAGACCCATGACCTCAACCCTTTGACTCTAGCCGGCTGAGCCCCTAAACCCCCCCTATGCCACCTCCCCAGGCATGGCTTGCAAGTACATCGCAGGCATCGAGTCGGAATGTCGGTACATGGGTCCCTGTGATCTTGCTTCGAGGCCGAAAGAAATTCCCGGGCGTTCCTTGTTTTGGGGTTCCCCAAGGCAAAAGCCGGCCTATGCTCAGACCTGTAAGGGGCCGCCACTGCAAGGGTCGCGAGGACCTGACAAGGAGGCTTGCTGGCTGAGTTTCATCGGGCGAGCCCGTGGTTCCCTACGAGGAGCGGCTAAGAGCCACTACGGTACGCTGGGAATGACATAATGAAGCAAGTGTGCCCCTATTTGGGCGGGGTTTACAAGGGAACACCCCTCAACAAAAAGACAACGACCCTAAGCCCCAAACCTTAGGTCCTAAGGGGCGCCCTAAACCCTAAAACCCCAAGAAACCCAAACCCTAAATCCAAACCCTAAACCGCCAACCCTTAACCCCAAACCCTAAACCCTAGCCCTAAACCCTAAACCCTAAACCCTAAACCCTAAACCCTAAACCCTAAACCCCAAGAGCCCCCCAACAACACCCGGGCCTGGTCGGCAGCTCCTCCCGCGCCTGGGGTGACCGAGAGGGCAGCGCTGCATGCGTGGAAGGCTGCAGCGGCAGCATGCCTGAGACCGAATCTTGGGGTTTAGGGGCTAGGGTTTAGGGTTTAGGGTCTAGGGTCTAGGGTCTAGGGTTTAGGGTTTAGGGTTTAGGGTTTGGGGTTCCTGGTTTAGGGTTTGGGGTTCCTGGTTTAGGGTTTAGGGGTTTAGGGGTTTAGGGGTTTAGGGGTTTAGGGGTTTAGGGGTTTAGGGGTTTAGGGGTTTAGGGGTTTAGGGGTTCAGGTAGGGGTTTCGGACTTTCGCGGGTTTAGGGACCTTCCGAATAGGGTTCGGAGTTGAGGGTTTATAGTGTTTGGGGCTAGACGTGCACCAAAGAGAACAAAACCCCCAACCCCCTGTCAAAGCCAGGCTTTATAGGGTTTCAACCCTGAACCCTGAACCCCATATTGTCACTTCTGTAAATGCTTGTCCCTTTTTGGGGTTATGATTATATGGCGGGCGCTAATTTTTAGGGTACCCAAACAGGGACCACCCTAACCCTAAACCCTAAACCCTAAACCCTAAACCCTAAACCCTAAACCCTAAACCCTGAAGGTGGCGTTGCCGAGCCTGGCGCCGGCCGCAGCTTGGCGAGTCCAGGAGTAATTTCAGGCGCGCGCGCGCGCGCGTTTCTTGTGGTGAACGGGGCTTATAAACCCTAAACCCTAAACCCTAAACCCTAAACCCTAAACCCTAAACCCTAAATAAGGGATCCTATAGTATATAGCCCCTTTAAAGAGAGGGAGTGCTGGGCGACCTCTACGGCTAGTCAGGTTCCTGCAATTTGTCCGTCGGGCTGACTCGGGCTTCGGGCTAGGGCAATTGTTCGCCAAGCTCTGAAGAGTGGGAGGTGGACGGTGTTGTGGGATTTTGTGGGTGGAACTTGATTGTGGAACATCCGCCGGGGGGTTGCTGAGCCAAAATGCGCGGGAAGGCTTGCGCTCCGAACCTTAAACCCTAACTAAACCCCTAAAACCCTAGAAGCCGAAGCATAAGCTGCATGCCCATGGTCCTCCACTCCAAGAGGGATGCACCTATCTCTCATGTTTTACTTCACTAACCCCTAAATCTCTAAAATTTATAAACTCTACACCGGGATGTGTGAACACAACCGCCCGCAAACTCTGCATTCTTGTGAGCTGAATGAAGCTGGTCATGGGTTTGAGGCATCCCCTCCCCCTTAGGCCTTAGACCCCTCGTTTATTAAGGACCCTTGATTAGAAGCTGCTCGGAGTTCAAGACTAAAAGCCATGGTGGCGTGCGAGACGTAGAGCGAAGTCTGGTTAGAAAACCAGCCTTAGGAGAAACATAGCTCAAATCAAGCAAAGCACGGGCTGGCTAAAGGAATCGGGCAATCGCCCATGTGCACGCCGTGAGAGAAGGTACAGCTATACAAGGGGACGATGCAGCATCAGGACAACTGGCTCCATGGACACAGTGGCTAGATCCCGGTGTAGTGTCTGCAAAGGTTGTCCGAAAAGACTAGGCGGAGCCGGTCAAACCGAAACGCCACGCAAGCACACGAAAAATGTCGTTCTGCTTTTTATCTTGCATCTTGCATCTTGCATCTCTCTCAAGCCCGCTCCCCTAACTGCGAAGTTGAGGAGAGGGGGCAGGGGTGGGTTGCGCGATACCTCTAACTTGCGTTAGCAGGTCGTTGCAACGCACCAGTTTTTTTGGCGCACATACGCCTCAATGCTTCCAGCCAAGGCACGTCCTACATATCGGATCCTAGCCGCATCTATGGCATCCTCTGTGGCTGAATGAAAAAGCATTTGCATCAGGAGGTTAGCCTCTACACCTCTGCTGGCGTGAAGCGCAAGCCCCGATGCCACAAACAAGTCTGCTGTCCCCGGGCATTCACACAGAGCATGCCGAATCCAGACACTGCATCTGTCACAGAAAGGGCACTTGTCAAGTTCTACTTCCGGCGGCAGCTCTGACAGTAAACTCAATGGCCACATACCAGTCAGCCTCGCAAATGCCCACAGCCTCGCTAATTTCCATTCAGAGCTTTTCAAGATGGGCAGCAAGTGAGACCAGTCACACTGTCTTCTCACGCAGCCCAAGTCTGCGAAGGCCAGACCCATCCCTACTAGATGCTTAGTAGCAGCTTTCTGAAACTCCGCCTCATCTCTGGCACACAGGATTGGCAGAAGGATTCGCGTCTTGTAAAGTAATAGCAAATTTTTTCGAACAGCACTGTCCTGTTTTGCTCTCACTAGCATTTCCTGCGTACAAAGGTTTGCGGCAAGGATGTCCGGGAATGTTCCTGCAGCGCTATCTTCCCTTAGCTGATGCCTGAGCGACTCAACTGCATGCCACCAGGTGTCTGATGGCAAAGATTTGGCCACCGCCAGCATCAATGCAGCTGGGTGGTCCACAGGCAAGAGCTGGATTTTTGCTAGGCACAAAAACATACGCAGCAAGGCTTTTGAGGACAAACGCAACTGCCAACCCAAAAGAGCAACAGCCAAAGAACCCCTAAGAACAGACCCAGCACGACCAGCAAGAACTCCCTTGGCCCATTCACCTTGTAAAAGGTCAAGTTTAGGCAACACCTCAGGCGTCATAGCCAGCAGCTCAGCAGCATACAGAACTACCGGCTCCACACGCTCGACTATAGCAGCTGCGTGCACCGGCGGTGGCAAGCCCAACTCTGTAATGAGATGGGAGAGCTCATCAAACATGGCCTTTCCAATTTGAATAATTTGCTTTGAGCGGGCAGAAAAAGAGAACTGATTATCAACCAAGACCCCCAACAGCTTGTAAGAATCACATGACATATGATCGAGGCAGGATTTGGCAGCATCCATGCAGCTCATGACTGCCGTTTTGGTGGGACCCAAGTTGAACTGCGCCTTGGCAAAGCGTGCATAGGACGGAAGCCCATAAGTAACTGCATGCTTGATGTCTGCATCTGTCGCAAAAGATGTTACCACATCATCCACGAACAAGAGAGGGCCCAACGGCAGAGCACCAAGTAGCTCAACACACTGTGCACGTTTCTGCCGTTCCTGGATGCCAGCCAGCAAATGTATTGCCACTCTTCGTGCTTCAGTGATTGAAGGGGCCTGGCGAATTGCAGCTGCCATCTGCTGCAAACTAGGTTGCTCACCTAGCCGGAGCTGGCGCATGCACGAAGGTGCAGGGGTCAAAGACGCCCACAGCCCCGAAATGGCATCTGCTGCAAAGGAAGGCAACACCGTGTTGGCTGGCGCACACTCGCTTAATAAAATATCGCCGAAATGTTTTAGCAAGGCAGAAAAAACGTGCACACTAAACTTTTTACCCTGCGGGATACCTGCACCCAAGGACAGAGCTCGAGAAAGGACCCCTCCCAACATAATGGAAGCTGAGTCCATTTTGAGGAAATCGTCTAAAAGCCTCCACTCGACCTCAACCACCCCGGACAAGAAAGCAGCAAGGAGCATGCCATCATGACTTGCCGTGTCAAATGCATGCTGGATGTCCGAGAATAACAGAAAAGTATCAAGTCCTTGGTAGTGACGGATCTGGACATGCAGCATGACAGCCAGGATTACCAAGATGGTGTCTAGTTTACCGCCCACTTGGCGATGACCGGTGTAGGTCTCAAGTTGTTGCTTACACCTGGCAAGCCACAAGGCGTCCTGCACTGATGCCATGTCCGTTGTGAGGCTGATGGGACGAAGGCATTTTAACTTCCTGACGACTCTCGGCCCTTGTTTACGGAGCGGGGTGATGCGTCTGAAGCACCAGCTAGTGGCCGTGACCTCAGCAGCTCTAGCCAAGTTCACAAGAGCCAAAGTGAGTTCCCTAGCCTCAGGCACGTTAGCTTTGATTGCCGCCAGCGGGCCATGAATACATTGCTTGCGCACTTGCATAGAAGACACAGCTTGCTCAAACTCAGCCGAAGAGTAAAGATTGGGATTGCTTGCCGTCGTCAATTGCGGTAGCGGCGGCAGGCCAGGCAGTCCACTAGCAGGGGCCTTAGCCCTTCGAACACCCTGAACCGCCTCACTAACCCAACAGGACTCGGCCGAAGCTTGCTCAGCATGCACATCTGCACGGGCCTCCAAGTCTTCAACTAGCGCCTGCAGGGCCTGCTGTGTTGACAGCAGCTGACCCGTTTCTTCATCTGTGAGGGCCACCTGGAAATTTTGTTTTCCTTTAAAGCATGTCGACAAGAACCTTTTGGCTTCATTGGGATCACAGCTTTTCAGAGCGGCAAATTTGTTGTAGACACCTTCTCGAATGCCTGCATTGAAATCAGCCATTGCCGACTTATAGGCCTCGTAATCATCAAACTCTTCAGGCCTCGGGACAGACTTCGGCCACACAGGGCTTCCGCGGTCGACTTGTCCCCTACTCGCTACTCTAGCAGAAGTGAGTTCAGAGCTGTGGCCCAGTAAACAAACAACGACGTCCCTGGCCCAAGCCGCCGCATCAACAATTGCTCTTCTCCTTTTGACTTGCAGTGAGCGAGCCTCTAGGATTTCTTCAGTCGCCTCTTCCGTAGCCCGGCGAAGCACTTGAAGCACCGGCAAGGCTTGAGTGAAAGCATCTTCCCACAGGCTTGGCTTGGCCCAGAGAACCCTTCCTACCGAGCACGTGAAGGAAAACTGGAGTTGCACAGAACAGTCAGCCCAGACTAGTTTGTGATCCGACAAACCTATGCTCTCCGAATCCACAAACACATTAAGAGGACTGCCAGCGTCCGACAACACCAGGTCAATGATGCTTCCCGAAGAATGCGTGGGGACAGGAGGGTTGAAAGCAAAGACACCAGCTTGTTGGAGATCAGCTTCAATTTTGGCATCATTGCGCTTCTGTGCGCAGTGCTCGTACGGCGGCCCTCATGCTGGACTAGATAACTCAAGTGAAGATTCGCATCACCAACTATGAAGATTTTAACGCCAGGAAACCTCGATTTCAGGACAGCAAATTCGGTTAAGATTTGAGTCCAGGTCTCAACATCACCCCCGGGTCGCGGGTAAATGCCGCCAATAATGATTTGCGACAGGGCACCCCTTTCCTTGTTCCCAACCCAGACCCACAGGATAACATCAGAGCCCAGGTCATCGATAACCTGAACCTGACTGACAATTTCAGTAGATACGAGCATACCCACAGCTCTCCAGCTTGAGGTTTGCGTACCTAACCAGATAAAAGGTAGGCCCGGAGGCAGCGAAGCTCCTGGCGGCCACCGTGCACCAGGTAACACACAAATCTGAATGTCCCTACTTATCAACGCAGACGTGACATGCCAAACCCTCCACCACATGATTTCTTCGGTGGCCAAGGCAAGAAACCCTGTGCGCCCAGGGTTGAGTGTCGCCACCTTCAGAGAGAAGCATTCATGCTTACTGTGCTTTGCAGCAGGAACATCGCTGATGCCACCCAAAAAAGGCGAGACAACAGGGATAACCTTCCTTACCGCTGCGCGCATGTGTGGCAAGAGTTTCTGGACAAGCATCCCCTTCAATGAGGTCACTATGTTAGCTAAAGGCAACAGTCTGCGTAACCTTCCCTGACCTATATGTGCCAGGTTCGCCGGGTTTTGTGGCGCTGCATCCACAATTCCTTGGAAATCCTTGATGGCAGCACAAAGCTCCAGCCGACGTGGGCTGGTTGTCAACCAGCTCAGGACATGCATTTCAAGAGCGCCGCATGCTTGGCTGCACTCCTCAGTTGCCATTAGTCCTGAACAGGACATTCATACATAACAAGCACCACAGAAACAGGCACAAAAACAAAGACACACACTCACACACACCCACCCACCCACCCACCCACCCACCAACACACACACACACACACACACACACACACACACACCGCAACCGAGCAGACGCGCGCAAGCACACACACAGACACACACAGCAACACACCCACACACCCACACGCGCACGCACACACGCCCGCCCGCCCGCCCACCAGCACGCACGCACGCACACGCGCATCCGCGCACACGCGCACACGCACACACGCACACACGCACACGCACACGCACACGCAAAAACAAGCACACAAGCACACACACACACACAACCCACACACACACCCACGCACACACACACACCCACACACACACACACACACAGAGCACACCACCACACACACAACAAACAAACAAGACACAAACAACACACAAACAACACACAAGCAACACAGAAACAACACACACAAAAAACAAAACAAAAAACAAAAAAACGGAAACACACAGACACACACACACAAACACACAAACACCCAAACACACAAACACACACCACCACGCACACACAAGACAGAAACACCACACAACACAAGAACAGAAAAAACAAAGACACAGCAGGCGCACAGCGAGAGAGGAGGAGAAAAAAAACACACACACACACACACACACACACACAACAAGCAAAAACAACACACCCAGCAGAGGGGCCGCACACAACTTTTCATTTCAACAACGCATCCAAGAGTGCACTAAAAGAGCAAATTAGGCTGCATCCGCTCAACCTAAAGGGAGCATCTTTGCACAGGCCGAAGCGTTGAGAAAAACACAACAGCCAAACAGAATCCAAGGGCCAAGGCGCAACAGGACCTAAGCAACTAGATTTCACTGCCAGCATTTGTGATTGCCGAAACAGGTGCCCCTAAAAAGGGGACGAATTTACGAAGCACAGGATGGGAGAAGGCAGATCTTCTGCCTTTCAGTACTACATTTGCTTTCTTGGCATGCACCTGCACAGTAATCTTGTGCGTGCTGGTCCAGAAAATTGTTATGCTTGGCTGGCCCCGCTGTCCGCCCAAGAGGCCCCTTGGAAATCTACAACTGTTCTCAGTAACTTTGTCACACAAATTAACACCCATGGCCCTGACACGACAGTTCAAGGCATGGGCTGTTACAATAGATGGCTGAGGGCAAAACGTCAAGGTCACATTTGCCTTAGCAGTGCCCGGTAGCTCTCCCGGCTTAGAAGCACAAGCGTCCATCGCTTCAAGAATCTGCTCAGCAGATTGTAAGACTTGAAGGTCAGTCGCCTCATCCCCGCTGCTAGTCTTAAACAAGGAAGAAGAAAGGCCAGCGCAGTCACTCTTGAGAGGGGGCCGAGCTACTGTGTTGTGAAAACAGGCTGGGGCCTCAGTGTCATGACTCTCTAGCTGGTTGGCGGCGCGATCATGAAGCGTATGTGCCAGCTGAGAAGTGTCTTTCAAGGCTTGGCTGATGGCTTTCATGACGTCAACCTTGATCTGCTCAGTAAGCTTACTCAACTCTGCCTGCAAGTACTCATCTCTTGGGTTGATAGCTACTCTTGCCAATGCATCTCGTCCCAAACTGTTTGAGGGGTGGTTCCTCCTGGCGGGGGAAACACTCCTCAAATCAGGGCCCCCGTTACAAGGCAATGGTGAGCGGCTGCGGCTATGAGAGCGCGAGCTACTGCACCATTTCCTCCGGAAGCTTAGCGGCACATGTCGCGGACTTGCGCACACTGAGCTTGCGGGCGACGTGGGGGATTCTGCTGAGATGTCCAGATTGAGGCTTTGCTGGTGCCGTTCAATCTCCAGGTTCATCACAAACTTCTCGAATGCTTCTTGGACTCTCGCATTGGGAAGTGCCATGAGCGCTAACACAGAGGCCGTAAGCCAATCTCTCAAGCAGGCTACTGCTGGAAGCTGATGCCTATTATGGCGAAAACACAGACAGAGCAGAACCCCTTCACGGCTCAGGCAAGAACGTCTGAAAGCTATGACAGAACAAAAAAAAATAAATAAAGCTTGCAGCAGTCCTGGCACCAGCCCTGGGCCATCCACTCATGCGATCGGCTTGGCTTCGGGCCAAGGAGATGTTAAATGCTTAAATTAAACAGACAGCCACCTAAGCAACCTAGAGAAAAAAAAAAACCAGGCAGACGACAACGAGAGAGAGAGAGGGAGAGAAAAAAGAAAGAGAAAGAGAAAGAGAAAGAGCAAGAGAAAGAGAAAGAGAGAGAGAGAGAGAGAGAGCAAACGCCCGAGGCCCATTGGCATGCACCAGTTGGCTACCCTTCACTACAAGGGCCCAGTGTAGCCGCAGGTAACCACCAGGTTGAGCCAAGAACTGAAACAAGAACAGACGGACACACGACAGACGCGGGGAGACCCCCGAGGCCCATTGGCAAGGACCAATGTTTCCTGACCCCCATACTCAAGACCTCGGGGACAGCGACCGCGAAAAGCATCAAGAAGCAACGCGCGATCTTATTGAAGCACCTGCTTTGAAGTGCTGTCTGAGTCTGCCTACGTCGTTCGACTCAAGCTTCTCAAGCTCCAGTCAACAAATACATCTGCGCGATCCGCTAGAACATTGCCCATGGCTCCGGCGCTTGCGAGCCTTGGGATCATGGTTGATTGGATCGTGACTTGATCCGGAGTTTACGCCTTTTCAAGAGACGCCCTGGCTTGCTCACCTCTTCTCGTTGACGAGAAGGGAACAGTCTTGAGCAGGCTGCAGAATGCTTCATCTTCCAATTGCACTGTCCTTGTACACCAAAGTCACTGAGGTGGCGGCCTAGGAGGAGGCCCGGGCTGGGGCCACCTGGGGCCGGCAAAGCAAGCCGCCCGTCGGTCAACGCCAAGCCCGAATCCGGGGCCATCGTCTTGTGGCCGAGCTCGTTGCCTGATGTCCCACTCAGTTCTCAATACAGCTCATTCAGGACGCCTTTCGAAGACGATCCACTTGTGTCGTCTCGCTGCCATACACCAGGAGACCAGCTGCGGACAACAGTCTCAAAGTCCGCAAATTCCCGAAACATCCTCTTGCACCGCTCCACCACACAGTGCTCCCTCTGGTCACCACATGCTGCAAAAGCCCTATACGTCATTGTGGCAACACCGCCAATCCCCCGTCGCACTGGCAGGTTCAAACACACGGTCAAGCGCAGTTGAAAAACTCGGTGAGGAACTTGGCGGTTGGGACGTCTATCAGCGGCGGCTGGGGGGCATTGGCAACCTCGGGAGCTCATGCGGTTTAAGGCTCAGGGTTTGGGGTTTAGGGTACTTCATGTGGAGAGACAGGGATAACGTCTATGCCAGGGTGGTGCCATAGGGAGTGGGAAGCTACGACCCGCCTCAAAGCAAATATAAGATTTGCATGGGGTTCGTGTATTAGGTGGTGCAACACTTCAGCATTTACTTGGGGCACCCTTCCTGGATTGCCGAGCCAGGGATTTGGCGGACTTGAAACACTTGCAAGGGCTTGTTCGGCTAAAGACTCGGAAGTTGTTTGTATGTTCTCTCTCTGTGGCTCGCTCGCACGCGCTCATCTAAAGAACATATGCATGTATCATATATGTATATGTATATATATATATATATATCAGAATCATATCATATGTTTCTGATGGCCTCTCTCTCTCTCTCACTCTCCCCCCCTGAAAGTGTTGTGGTGAAGTCGAGGTAGCATTTGAGTTTTTCTTTTTCACTCGACAGACTCTAACCCGGCAACTTCTAAACAACGCATCAAGTCAATCTTACGAAAGCTACATTGCTCTTTAGGACACGCAAAGTGGCAGCACAAGTTCTCCGGAACAGTGCTCACCGCACCCAAAACCTGCGCCCTACACCCAAGCCACCTCAAGGCATCTGCCAACGCCCAAGAAGTGGCTGCCAGCCCGCAGTGCTCGAACTCGCAGGGCCTGCCACGACGGTTTCGGGCTTGGGGCTATGCATGGGCTTAAGGCTGTAGGGTGCATGGTGTCTCGATCTGGAGGTGCGCTGGGGTTAGAAGCGCACAGGCACGCATTCTGAATGAGAGAGCCCCACCCCGCGAGCGCTCCCCTCGCTGCCTCGACCTTCGCGGGTTTACAAAGGCATAACAGAAGCCAGCGGCGTAGCACAAATCTTCGAAATGTTGATCTGTCCCAAGGTTGGTTTAGGGTCTGGCTCGACGATTTTGCCTACGTCTCACAAGGTGCCCACTGAAAGACTTAGGATTTTGGGTTCAGAGTTTGTGGGTCTGTAGGGTTTCGGGTTCGTTTATGTTGCGGCTCGAGGCTCCAGAGTCCGTAGCATGTAGGGGTTGAGGGCATATAGGGTTTATAGGGTTGAGGGCTTGCGGACAATATTGGATCTTTGGCTTGTTTGACTTGCCTTAGCCAGTTGGTTATAGGGCTTTGGGGCTTGGGGAACCGGAGGTTTATCACACGTAAAGAAGCAAACTGAAACAAATGCAAGCCTGCTCAATTCAGACTGGCAAAGCACAATCAGTCTTGATAAGCTTAACGCAAAAGAAGACAAACGGGTAACATGTTGCGAAACGAGTAGATGCCATGGCGAGTCTGATCCCTAAAAGTGTGTCAGTGGTCAAGGCGGTCAAGCGCTTAGGGGACAAAGCCCAAAACCCCAAATGCATAAACCCTGCGTTACCTACAGCCCCAAACCGAAAAACTACACCCCTAAACCCCTAAAAGCCCTAGAGCCCTAAAGCCCAAAACCCTATACCCCTAAACACTGAAAACCCCTAATGTTGCACCCGCAATATTCTAGGGGGCCGCTATTATGAAAAGTTTTTCGGCTATTCAGGATCTTGGCCCTTTGTTTTGGGGATCCGCTATAATGAAAAGTTTTTGGGCCGGGCCTGTTTTTTTGAAATGGTTTTTGAGGGTTTCAGGAAGGCATATAAGCTTTCTCGAAAAGGGGAGATACTTGAAGCCTGAAGCCTCGACCTTTCCGGGATCTCCGAATCGTCTTTTTTCAGGGTGCCTTTTCTCTATAAACTCCTTTCTTAAACTATATGATTCCATAGGCGAATCATATCCGGAAAGGGGGTACCTTACGGAGGCCTCCGGACACACTTTAATACCTTTGTCTGGGGGCCCGCTATAATGCAAGTCTCCCGGGGCCCGGGGCCCGGGGCTCAGTCCTTCGGTTTTCAGGAAGGCATAAGATTTCTCGAGAAGAGCGGATACTTGAAGCCTGAAACCTCGACCTTGCCAGGCCTGACTGTTTGGGGGGGGGGGGGGTTAGATTATTAAAGCAGGTCCAACATTAAACCCCTAAACCCTGCACCCTAAACCCTAAGCCCTAACCCCTATAACCCCTGAACCCTAAACCTTAACCCTAAACCCTAACCCCTTAACCCTAAACCCCTTAACCCTAAACCCTATCCCTAAACCCTAAACCCCTTAACCCCCCACCTCCGCCGCAGCAGCGCAGCGGAGAGGCCGCGGAGCATCGTCGGCCCGGAGGTCCGTTCCCAGCTGGGTTGAGGGATTTAGGGTTTAGGGGTTTAGGGTTAGGGGTTTAGGGTTTAAGGTTTACGGTTTTTTAGGGTTTAGGGTAGGTGTTTAGGGATTCAGGGTTCAGGGTTGAGGGATCTAGGGTTTTGGGGCTCTACAGAGTTAGGTTTCAGGCTTTCGTTTCGGGCTCAGGGCTTCGGGTTGGGGTTTTCGGGCTTCGGGGATCAGTGCTTTAGGGCTTTGAGGCTCAGGGCAAACCCACAAGCCCTATAACCCTCAATCGCATAACCCAGAACCCCAAACCCTAAACCGTTTCCTTTCTAGGGCGTTGAGGATTTGGGGCCTCTCAGGGCTTTACGGGGGCTCGAGCTCGCCCAGTTTAGGGACAGGGCTTTTGTGGTTTGCACGTTGAGGTGGTTTGGGGAGGCTTCAGGGTTTGAAAGTCCGGAGACCTTCTGAGACTTGGGGCCAGGCTTTAGGGCGCTTGGGGTTTAGGGTTTAGGGTTCAGGGTTTCGGGCGCAAGATCGAGGAGTGAGTTTCCGACATGTTTTTGGCTTTCTTTGCGGCGACCTTTGGCAAGCTGAGGGTCCATGAATCCTCCAGCATGTGCGTACAACCAACCCTGAAACTAAACCCTAAACCCTAAACCCTAAAAAACTGAAACCCTGAAACACTCGACCCTAGACCCTAGACCCTAAACCCTAAACCCTAAACCGCAAGCTCTCGCATCCGAGGTACGAGAACGTGGCAAAGGCCCAGAGGAGGTTGCCTTGCATCCGCGAGGAGGGTTCTAGGGTTAAGGGTTTAGGGCTTAGGGTCTTAGGATTTAGCGTTTAGGGCTTAGGGTTTTAGGGTTTAGGGTTCCAGGGCCCTAGTTTCAGTAACTTACAGCTCAGTTTGTTGCAGTAGTGACCAGGCAAACAAGGGTTCCCGTTTCTGCCTGCAGGGGGCCTACGAGGGGTCATAGCTCAAGATGTTGAGCTACCCTCACGTCTCCCTGGCACAGGGTTCAAGACAATTAGGGCTTAGGGTATACCAGTCGGTGTGTCAGAGCCTTCGTTTCTAAAATGTGCGGTGACCTGTAACCCTAAACCCCAAACCCCAAACCCCAAACCCTAAACAGTGTACTCCTTCGGCCATATTAGGTTTTAGCTCTAATGGCCAGGCGTCGATGCTGGATGCTGGGATTCCTGTACTCGGAACTCTCTTCTGGAATTAAGTCCACCGACCCTTGCCACACTAGGGTTGTGAGATGCCTTGGGTATCCAACTCCTTGATCGTACTAGACGTGGACAGTTTCATTGTCAGGGGAACCCAGGGTTGCTGGGGGCAGAGAGAATGATTTGAGTGCTTAAGCCTGCCTCTCTTATCGTGCGACCCCGACACGACAGCAACATCCCAACTTTGATCCAAAGATGATGAACTTGTTGTCCAAGTACTTGTTACATGTTGCATAGTGCAGCATTGTGGTCTGAGTGGCACAGATGCTGCAGCTCCATCTCCGGCATGTTCCTGACCCAAAACTTCAAGGCTGTCAAGCCAGGTTGCCCAGTAACCTAAAAACAGCAGCGTGCCCTTTTTGTCTAAAGGAGTTTCTACGGGGAGCAAGATGCCAAAACAAAGGCATATGGGGTACCACAGGGCACTGGGCATCCGAGTAGCGGTCTAAATGCTAAGAACTTAGAGGCGCGCGCGCGCGCGTCCCAAGGCGAGCGCATGGGATGAGGGCCGCGGCTCAGAGGACTTCCGTTTAGAGGCGTTCGAAGTCCCAACCTCTGAGCCCGATGTATCAGACCTCTGAACCCTGCATTGCAAGGGACACATCCCGGTTCAGCTTGTGTTGGGTTCCCGAATACAAAATACAAAATCTAGTACAGCGTGCTTCTAGCAGATTGGGAATCTTTAGTATTGGGGCCTGGGAGGGTTCCTATGGAGGGGATTCAGGGGATGAAAAGAAAAGTAAGGTTGTAGGCTAGTGGCCACGAAGCAGAGCTGCCAAGCCGCAGGGGAGCGTTGGCTTGAACGCCAGCAGCAAGCAGATGCACGCATCATTTTCCAAGCATGGCCATGGTGCGCGGGTGCTTGATGGCATCTGTGTCAGATACCCTAAACCCTAAACCCTGTAGAAACCCTAAACCCTATATAAACCCTACAACCTAACCCATTATCAGGCAATGGGTGGGGGAGGGAGCCCTGGCTGGGCCCGCGCGACGACACGACCGTGTAATCCTGGGGGTACGGGGGGCCAGGTCCCATCGATCGCCAGAAGTGCTTTGAGCTCTACTTTGAAGTCCTGGAATTTGAATCCTAGATAATTCTGTGGGCGAAACCAGTCAGGTCTCTTCTGGAGCAGTTTTTGGGCAAAGAGCGAGTCTTCCGAAGTTAGAAGTGCCCGCGCGTCAGGAAGCAAATCTCTGAACTCCTCGAATGAAATACCGTGCTGGTCCAAGATACGATGCCATCTCTCGAGAATTTCGTCATGGATTCTGCGCAGCGATGGCTTGATTTCTTCGAACGCTTGCTGAAAGCATGGGCGCGCGAGCTGGTTGTTCGCCTCCCTGATCTCCCTCCACTGTCCGCTTCTAAAGTGGCCCACAGCTCTGCATTCGGATACATCAGGACTTAAGCTCAGCACAACAAACATTGACCCGCCTGTGCTGGCCATTTGTCGATATCTCTTGTTGCCAACACAATTCTTTAAAGTCTTGCCAGCCTGCCACAGCTGATGGCTGTCAGTTAGCAATAGCATCCGATATTCCACGCCTTCGATCATGACTTTTTGCAGTTCTTTTGGGCCCTTCGCTGATGCGCCAGGACACAGCCACTCAAATTTCTGGAAAGGGACTTGCTCCAGCTCGCGCCTAGCCTCCACACGGCGAAGTTGGGCTGCGGGTGGAAGCAGCTGCTCTTCCTTAACCCTAAAATCAATGTCCAAAAGCTCGTCCAGCCGCGCAGCCAAACTGCTATCGAACTTCTTTCGCCAGCGGTAGACATAGCTGAGGACGTGCTGGGAAGATTGCAACCCCCGGACCCGGAGGCCAGGCTCAGTCACCAAGAACATTTCCTGCTTGCTAAAGGCCGGCTTCAGGCATTCAACGAACGCAGCGGCCGCAAAGACATCGATGTTGGGAAGCCACTTCGCGCAGTAGCCCTCCGCACTCAACTCGGCAGGGCCGGGCAAAGACCAGCTGCCGTCTGCCATCTTCCTTTCGTGCCACTTGCAGAGGGTGGCATCCACGTCAAACTTGCCGTAGCCTGTGAGGTACAAGGTCCTCCTCTTGGGCTCTGGCATCCGACCCCAGTCCTTTATTGCCTCCTGCAGCTTGGGAGGCAGTGTGTACAAGTCCTTTGCCGGTAGCGAAGGCTGGGATTCTGGAATCGCGAAAGAGAAGCTGCGCTTGCCATGCGTCAGGCCTGTGGCGGTTATCTGCAGCAGTTCTTTCTGCAGCTCCTTCCCTGGGGATTGCAGGGTGAATTTCCATCTGCCAGCTGTGGTGCTGTGAGAAACTTGAGTTAACCCATGCCCCCACTGCTGTTGGCCGGCTTGGTTGAAGTGAGCTGTCAGAAACTTGGTACAATTTGCAAGCATCTGAGGATTCTTCGAAATGTCGAGCACGGCCGCGGCTTTGTGAGCCCCATCCTCCAAACGCCCCTTCTCTTCCTGGCCGCCGGGCGACAGCGAACAGAACGCTTGGAGCCAGCTGGGCAAACTCAGCGCCTTGCGCACCTGTCGATAAAAGATGCGGTTTTTGTCATTACAATAAGAGCAACTTTTTGTTCGTCATGTCCGTAGCCTTCAACCCTGAGCCCCAAAGAGCTTCAGCGTCAACACAGGAGGCGGTTCGATCGTTTTTGGGCCAACCAGCCTTATCCAGTCCAACCGTCTCAGCGTGGAGCAGTAAGTCGGAGAGCCCCCACCCAGGAACCTCAGGGTATCTCGTGCTTCTGGGGTTTGGAGTTCTCAGGTTTAGGGCTCTTAGGGTCTATAGGGCCTAGGGTGCAGGGACTAGAGTTGGTGGCGCGCAACTTGGGGAGAAAAATGTTAGCAGTACAAAAAAAAAAAACTCCACTCCTTCCCGGCCTCGTCATCCGGAAGCCATTTCGGCCGCGGCCCAAGCCGCCTGGACGGGTGGTTGTGCCACGTCGCGTTGAGCAGCGCTGCAACGTGCACAGCCACCTGAACACCCATGCAGCACCCCCAACACCGACTTCAAGGTTCAGGGTTTAGGGCTTTAGATGGTTTAGGGTTTAGGGTTTAGGGTTTAGGGTTTAGGGTTTAGGGTTTAGGGTTTAGGGCTCAGGAGTTTAGGAGTGGCCCCCGGGGTGCAGCCTGGCAGCCTGACTGTGCCCAGAGTAGTGCAAGGTCTGGGCCAAGACTGCAGGATCCACCGAGTCCTCCGCCAGCTGGGTTTTTCTTGGCTTGGCTCTTTGTTCTTATGCCGGGGTTGTGGTAAGCCTGTGCCGCTTCTCTCTCTCTCTCTCTCTCTCTCTCTGTCTCCCCCTCTCCCGCTAAAGGCGACGTGAGTAATTCTCAACATGTTGGTCTTCCTTTGATATCTGGAGCCTCATATTTAGGGTAACCAGCGAAGGAAAAGACCAGCCCATGTGTGGATCAAACCAAAACAACCAAGCCACCCACTATGGGAATTTCTATGGGAGGCTCTAAAACAACACTGCGGGCTGTTTGGGCCCCTACTTCTGAGTCCACAGGGTGAAGGGGCGTGATGTGGGCGGGCTCTCCTCCGCAAACCCGAGCATTTGTTGGCTCGCTTCCAGGGCGCTGTCAACAACAACCTGGTGTACTGAGCGGGCGAAGGGAGAAGTTTAGGGGGCCCCCCCCCCGCCCCTCGTAGGCTTTTGAGATGCAAGCAACCCCAGAAAACCCCGAGTCGCCTTCAAGAAGAGGTGTTCCAGATGATTGCTACTCTGGGTCTGGGATGGGTTCATCTGGGTTTGTGCAAGCGGACGCAGGAGGATGCGTACCGAAAAAAGTCCAAAGAAAGTCTAGGCCCCGAAGTCACCCAGGAAGAAAAGAGTACCCTTACTTGTTCGGGGGGAGGTTTGTGGAACCACAGAAAGATGCACCAAGAGGGATTCAATTTTGGACCCGTGAGTTTAGGGTAAGGACCAGGCAGCATGAGTAGGAAGCTGCTGCCAGTCATGCTTCAGCAGTGTGCTTGGGTCCAGCGTGTACTCCACCCTGTCGCCAGGGCGATAGGGCCCGGTGATCTTGCCATGCTGAAGGATGCCTCCAGCACAAACGAGCCCCAGCACCTGAAATGCTTTAGGGGGTAGTAAGGTTTAGAGGTTTAGAAGTCCGAGTGTCAAGACGATTACAGCAACCAGAACCCTCAATCTCCAACCACCCTGAACCCCCAACAACTACAGTCTCCCCAAGTCCCAAACCCCTCAACCCTACAACGGCCTGCTCTACACCTTCCGGCTGCTTGGCAATCGGACAGCTGCTGAGGCAGCGCAGGACCCGTGCGCGCGATGGGCCCAGCTTGCGCAGGAGCATGCTTCACGAAGCTCCGAGATGTTTTGGGTGCAGTACTTAAGCCGAAATCCGCTCTGAAGTGAGCAGCAGAAGGTAGCCAATCAACTCCATAGACATGCTTGCAGTTTAGGGCTTAGGATTTGATTTTAGGGCTTAGTCACCCAACGCCAGAGCAAGAAGCTCGACCCTAGCTCATCACTTGGTCAACTCAAGTTCGGCCCCAAGCCCTCACGAAAAGCCTCTTATAACAATTCCCTGATAGCCCAGTAACCATATTATAATATAATAAGGGTTCCCTGTTTTTGGGTCGGCTACTGTATAAGGGAACTTTGAACCCCCAAAAAAGGTAAAGGGTACCACTGGGGCTACCGAGACTCCAGTCTACCAGCCCCCAGGGGCCTCTGTGCTTGCGTCGCCAGCGCCACGATGGCTGGCTCATCGATGACCACTTGCGTGGCCATAGCCTGGATGACGGATTTTGAGGGCGCCAAGCGCTGTAATTCGGGGAGTGCAAGGTTCGGCGTGCGGAGTTTAAGGGTTCAATCCAGGGTTCTGAGTCCCAAAGTGACCTAGCCAAAGTGAGCTAGGAGGAACGACGCTACCCCTTTGCCTTACTTAGCTCTCTTACAAGTTATCCTGGCACCAAAAAAGGAAGGAAGTGCCTAAACGAAGCAGGCGCCCCCCGAACTTGGAACTCCACTCTGAACCCTTTGAGCCGTAAGAACCCTCGAAGCCGTGGAAGCACTAGGCGCCCTGTATAAACCCTTTAAGGTATTCTACAGGGTACCTCATTCCCTCATTCCCAGAACCAGCCACTCGTTCGACGTACTCAGACTCAGGCCATGCACTGCTCGCCCTAAACCCTTGTAAGGATTTGGGGGCTGAATTCATTGTTAAGGATTCAGCGGCCTCCGTGACTTTGACTTGAAGACTGCGAAAATCCGGATAAGCTCATGTCCTAAACGTACAGCCCACAAACCCTAAAGCCACAGTTCCGTAGCAATTGCCCCCAAAGACTGTAGGGAGGCGGGCGGCCCAGGCCACGTTCGCGACGTCTCGTGCCGCCAGTTCCTCAGGAACTGCGGAAGTTTAGGGTTGAGGGTTTAGGGTTTAGGGTTTAGGTTTAGGGCTTATGGTTGAGGATTTAGGGCTTAGAGCTTAGTGTTGAGGGTTTTGGAGGTTGCAAGACTGCGCGCGTGAAGGCCCCTTGCGGCTTCGAGACTTTGACTTTGACCCCAACACGAAAAATCGCGCCTTGCTTTCGCGCACCCTTACCTTGCCCAAACCCTAAACCGTAAACCCTGAACCCTAAACCCTGAACCCTAAACCCTGAACCCTAAACCCTGAACCCTGTCAAGCCGAACAAAACTTTCAACAATGAGCCTGGGCACCTCCGCACGCTGGCCAGCGATAGCTGCGAAGTTGCCGAGACCGCCGTGGGCACCTGAAGGCAAGTTGTTGCCACGTTTTCCTCTTCTTATTATGCTTCTTCTCTGTTACTCTTCTTATTCGTCTTCTTGATTCTTATTATTATTGTTCTTCTTCTTCTTCTTCGTCTGCTTCATCTTTGTCTTCTTCTTCTCCTTCTCCTCTCTCCTTTTCCTGCCCGCTCTCCCTCGGTCTGTCCATCTACTTGAAGGTTCATGAATGGCAAGAAGTAGGAGTACAAGTCTTATACTGAGTGCCCTGAATGAGGTTAAGCTATAGTGACCTATGACCTCACTTCTAAGTCTCCATGAGCCTCCAAGTATCTATCTGGTATCTCTCTCGTGTGCAGTACCTCCCTAAACCCTGAACCCAAACCGACACTCCGAAACCCCAAGAGTAGAACTCGACGCTTTCAAGAACCTTAAACCCTAAGCCCGAAACCCTACAAAGCACCTTCGTAGCCCCAGGTCGCCAAGGTCCAGGCCCCTAGCGCGACGTCCTGCAGGGAGGTTGTTAGGAAGGGTTTAGGGTTTAGGGTTTGGGGTTTGGGGTTTAGGGTTTAGGGTTTAGGGTTTAGGGGCCCTTCGGACTTCCTGGTTTTAGGGCTCAGGGGCTGTGGGGTATACGAAACCGGGCTTAGGCGTATGGACTGCGCTGGCTTTGCTTTCTCCGGTCCCCAGTTTAGGGTTTAGGGTGTAGGGTTTAGGGCTTATGGGCCGTCCTTTGTTCCCCTGAAATCGCAGCCATCAAGCTATCTTTCCTCTGAAAGCCATCGATCGCCTCAATGAAACATGAAGAAGGACACCCCATTTAGGGGCATAAGGAGGGACCCCCTATACATCGAAGAAGCCACTCAAAAACTCCCAAATAACCCCTAACCGTCCCTTATAAGGGTCCCTCCTTTAGTCCCTTGACCCCAAGCTTACATCTATACTGAACTTGGAACCCGAGCAAAATCTTTTTTGGCTGCTTCTTAGGAATGAAAGTACCCAAATATTAGGGGTTTAGGGTTTAGGGTTTAGGGTTTAACAAGATTTCCCAAGTGTCCCTAAGACATTGCCATACGTCCCAAAAGGCCCCTCAGGTCCCTTATCAGGATCCCTCCTTTAGTCCCTTGACCCCAAGCTTCATTTGCCATAACTCCTAAACCGTAAACCCTAAACCCTAAACCTTGAACCCTGAACCCTGAACCCTAAACCCTAAACCCTAACCCCTAAACCCTAAACCCTAAACCCTAAACCCTGCGCCTGTGCCCGAAGCGCTGCCGGATCCACTGCCGCCAGCGCCGCGGCAGCGGGCGAGGCGAAGACGCCCAGCCGCGCAGCTGCCCAGGCCACCTGGCACTAGGGGGATATGTGGGGTTTAGGGTTTAGGGTTTAGGGTTTAGGGTTAAAGGTTTAGGGTTTAGGGTTTAGGGTCTAGGTTCAGGGTTTAGGTTCAGGGTTTATATAGGGTTCGGGTCTTTGGTTCATGGTTCAGGGTTCAGGGTTTAGGGTTCAGGGTTTAGGGTTTAGGGTTCAGGGTTTAGGGTTTAAGGTTTCGGGTTAGGGGCTGAGGGCTTTGTCGAAGGATTTAAGGGGGTATAGGGTTTGAGGGCCAAGGGTTTGGAAGGGTTCAGAGGTGTAATTAAGGGTCTTTCGAGTTGCTTGTTCTAATTCACCAGAATATACACGCAAGGCCCCCACATGGTTTTGGGGGCAATGAGAGGGGTGGCGTGGGGGATTCAGGTTTTAGGGGGAGGGGATGCCATTTCACAAGTGCCCCGGGAGGCTAATCAACTACCGACACAGCCCTAGACCCGTTTAGCAGGCTCTTGCAACCAACCTTTTCGGGTTGAGGTGTTAGGTTTGTATAGAGTTCAGGGTTTTATGTTTAAGGTTTAAGGGTTTCAAGGGCCTAGGACTTGTAAGGGGTGAGGGATCGATGAACACCCTGGAGACCTGCTTGGGCCCCAAGCCCAAAGCCCTGAGCCCTAAACCCAGAAACCCGAGAGTCCTAACCCTCAACATGGCCCCCAGAGCCTTCACACCCAACACCTTCAAGCCCCCCGAAACCCCTGAACCCCTCAACCCTCCCTAAACCTTGAACATCTTGAACGCCTCAAGCTTAACCCCGAAGGCCTTCAAACCCGAACTAGAAAGCCCTGACGCCCGTCAAGCCCCCGAACGATGGAACTCCAAAACCTTCAAACACTCCAACTCTAAAATCCTGAAACAGCTCATTCCTGGGCGCTGGCCCTTAGCTTTTAGACAGAGTCAACAAACTCGCAAAATATGTTCAATGCCAGAAAACCCAAACCCAAAAACAGCCCAAAACCTCCTACTACCTCAACCCCCTACACCCGAAAGAACTTTAAGCCCCAAACCCTATAAATCCTGCATGCACCCTAAACCCTAAACCCTAAACCCTAAACCCTAAACCCTAAACCCTAAACCCTAAACCCTAAACCCTAAACCCTAAACCCTAAACCCTAAACCCTAAACCCTAAACCCTAAACCCTAAACCCTAAACCCTAAACCCTAAACCCAGGCCTGCACCACGCAGCTCCCGGACCAGGCAGCCTCGGGGGCGTGGGATGCGAGCTTCCTGGCGAAGAGCTGGGCCGGCGCCTCCTGGGCTGGATAGGGTTTAGGGTTTAGGGTTTAGGGTTTAGGGTTTAGGGTTTAGGGTTTAAGGTTTAGGGTTTGGGGTTTAGGATTTAGGGTTTAGGGTTTAGGGTTTAGGGTTTAGGGTTTAGGGGTTAGGGTTTAGGGTTTAGGGTTCAGGGTTCAGGGTTCAGGGTTTAGGGTTCAGGGTTTAGGGTTTAGGGTTTAGGGTTTAGGGTTTAGGGTTTAGGGGTTAGGGTTTAGGGTTTAGGGTTTAGGGTTTAGGGTTTAGGGTTTAGGGTTCAGGGTTCAGGGTCTAGGGTTGAGGGTTTACTGTTTGGGGCTTAGGGTAGGGTTTAGGGTTTAGGGTTTAGGGTTTAGGGTCTGGGGTCTGGGGTTTGGGGTTTAGGGTTTAAGGCTTAGGTCTCAGAGTTTAGGATGCCTATTCTCGAAGGGATAAGGAAGGGTTTGGCAGGGATGCGTGGTGTTAGAGGGAGTTCAGGGGCTTAGGGTTTAGGGCTTAGGGTTTAGGGTTTAGGGTTTGTGGTGAGTGTTTGCGGGTTTCGGGTCGGAAGGCTCAGGGCTAAGGGATTTCGGGTTGAGCTTTCGGGTTTTGTGGTTGAGGATCTGTTGCTTAGGGTCCTCGGGCTTTAGGGTCGAGGGTTGAGGGTGGGTGTTAGAATTCTGTCCCTTCTATCCTATGTTTCCCTTTCAGTGGCCCTGCTTTCCTGACTTACCCCTAGCCATGGACCTGCCGCTGCCCCTGATCGGCCAAAAGGCAAGCTTGGCCGCTGCCCAAGCCACACTCCTCACAGGCTGTGATACAAAAAAAGAAAAGTGTGTCGGCTTAGGGCTTAAGTTGGGATGTTCCCCCCCATACTGCTGACAATCCTTGTTTAGGGATTATAGTACCCCAGCGATTCTCATCCCTACTAGGGACTGTTAGTGTATGGGGGGAACATCCCAAGGTTTAGGGCTTCCGATGTAAAGGCATCAAACAAATGTACT